AGTTTCTTGTTAAGCCCCACCTCCAAGAGTCATGTGAGTTTGTGTCCAGCCAAACTTTCAAGAGAAGCAAGAATTTTTCTGCACCTAAAGCCAGTTTGGGGATGGGAAGAAGAGAACTCTCTTGTATCCAGTGTGGATGAAGAGCATCTGGAGGGAAGAGGTCCCAGTGCTTTTTTCCTTGCCCAGATGGAAGTGCCCTTTCTTCCAAGCTGTGTATAGCCCTGGCCCTTCAGACAGGCCACAGGGACACCACAGTGCAGGATGAAGGATTAGTTAATTTCCTTCCCTACTCCTCTGGAAGGTGTTTTGATTAGCATAACCATGGTGTTCCCAAAGTAGCTTGTGCTCTTGCTTTGCTCTTAGGCTGGCTTTTCCTGTTACAAGCCTGCTCTGGCACAGTGATAGTTTTCCACTGCAGTATCACAGCTTACATCAGTATGGATCCAGCCACACTGAGTCTTCCAGCTGCCCTTCCTGACTGACCTTAGGCTGATGCTGAGTCCTGTGCCTGGCACAGCTGCATGGAAACCTGCAAACATCCCAAGCTTTGTTGCAAGGCTTGGGGGACCGTGGCATGTGCTGGACCAAGACCAGCAGCAAACAGGACAATAGTGCATCTTGCTCCTGCCATCATGACAGAGGTTATATTGACTTCTGGTATGGGCTGAGGTGCACAGCTCTGGTATCTCAAGCCATCCTGGCTAAACAGGTCTTAGTCTGTCTCGCAAATCCTCTGCTAGTCACTCACCTGCTTCTGTTTTCCTTATGCCAAGAATCATTCTCAACTGAGACAATGCAAAGTTCTGGGAAAGAACATGAGAATGTGAAATATTTTCCAAGTGTCAATGGGATAGGCACACAAGCACTCAGACTGATTAATCAGGGGCTGCTGATTTCATGGCTCCTGAGCGCCATGGAGAGCAAGAGTGGCTTGCAGAGTAGGCACGCAACTGAGTAGCTGAAGTTACGTGTTGGCATGTCAAGCCTTATCCACAAAAGATATACCTGGGGGTCTGAAATCAGATGGTTAACACACCTACAGTGCTGGCTGAGGCACAGGAGGTGGGGTACCTTCACAACCCTCCCTCTGTGGAGGGAATAGGTTTAAGTTCTGCTTAAAACATCTCCAAAGAGGAATGGAGGAACTGATGAAGCAGATAGATATTTGACCTTGCCCCATTACAAAGCTCATGTCATCATGCCTTGAGGTTACCCAGAGCAATCTTCCACCAGATTTCAGATGGGCTTACATAGTGGGCACCCAGTTATGGCCAGGAGGGCAGAAGAAAGTACGCCCCAAGAACACGATGTTCTTGATGAGGCCAGTGGGCATTATGGGAAGTAGCTGGAGCTGGAGAGAAAAGAAAGAGGTTTGCTTCTCAAACCCTTTATCAGCCCATTTAAATCCAAGCTCCTTACCAATGCCATCTACTTCTGTAAATAGTTCAATCACCAGTGGGCCCAAAGATGAAGTCATTGAACTTTTGGCTTCTGGTGACTGCCCGGTTAGTGCTCCTCCTGCCAGCATTTGGGGCATCTCATGATGCAGAGCTGTAGGGATGGGGGAACAGCAGATTAGGGATCTAAGGTGTGAACACCATGACTTTCCTGGGAAGGTGTTATTTTACAAACACCCAGGGCAAAGCCCAGCTGCTCAGACACAGGCATTTAGTGCCTACTGGGAACTGGGCTGTCCCACTGGTCCCCAGCTGCTAGCCCACCGAAGTGGAGATATCCTGCAGGTCCTGGTTCATATTTCATATTCAGATGGTAACTTCCAATCCCACATGGAGGTAGGTGGAAGGGGAGTTTAGGAGAGGCTGAGCAGGAGGTGTACTGCTCCCGAAGCAAATACAGCTGTGGCACGGTGCATTTTCTAATCCAAGCCGCAGCCATGCCATCGCAGAAACACGGGCAAGGAGGGAGAGGAGCACTCTAGAAGCTCCTGCACTGTACTCTGCTGCAGCACCCACCTCTAATTTCCATCATTAGCGCAAGGCCACTACTTATTAAACCCAGACAAGCAAGCACTTGGCAAGGCACGCAGCCCGCGAAGGACCACCAGGGAGCCAAGGGGAGGCCAGACATACTGATTTCTGCTTTTATGAAAAAGGAGAGGCTGCTTCCAGAGTCTTCAAAGGGATTTGAGTGTGGATGTGGGGCCGCTTGGAGGATCGGCCTGGCTGGCAGACAATACAGCATCATGTCCATAGTGCAGGCAGCAGCTGCATCTGGAGCAAAGGACTACTCTGCTCTTGTTCCTACTAGTTTCTTGGTGTATTCCTGTAGCAGTAAGTATTCCATGGTGGGAGTGAGGGGGGCAAGCACCTCCACACCTCCAGAAGGGCTCAGGATCAAAATGCACCACCAGGCCCAGGAAGAGCTGACTACTCTCCTACAAGAAAGCACAAGCTGTGTCTGTCTGTGTGCTCAGCCACAGCCTGGATGCAGATCTCATGGGGAATGGGATGAAGCATTTGGATGGCTCCCCAAGTAGGATTTCACGGTCATCTCTGCACAACTGAGCCTGGACCTTCAGAAGGAACTGGGCTGCTAGGGACCTCGGGGAGCCCTGTAGACCTTGTGGCAGCATTTGTTTGATGACTGCTGTGCAGAGCTAAAAATACTCCAGCTATGGTTATGAATTTAGGATAACTAAAACATCCACTGAAAGATTTGGAACCATTCCAGGGCTAAACAACAGCTTCTTCACCAACAGCCAAAGACTTGTGGATGCAAAAATAACTAGGAACTGAAAAACTTAAGCTGGATCAGGTAATTTTCAAACTGAACTAAAAAAAATCTTTATAGCAGTGAAGATGACCATGGAAAATTGCCAGCACTTTGGTTGTTTTAACAACAGGGCACACAGACCTCTGGATTTGGGCTGGATACTGCCTCTGGGCAGGAGTTGGGAGAACTAGTATTTAGGGAGAATGCCTTCGTTATGAGGTAAAAGCAAATTACATTGATAATATGTTATCCCAGTGGCCTGGATCAACAGCATAGTGCAAGAATCAGAGGGAAACACCGTGATGGGAGGTATACACTTGATGTCTTAAAAACTGGGGGGAAAGATCCAAGAACAGACCAACTGTGGATGCTTGGAGGAGTGCTGTGGCATGAATCAGCTTCCAGCCATGTTGGTTGGTAAGCAGAAGGCAAGCAAGGGTTTCAGACATCTGTCTACAGACCCAAAACACAGCTGAGGAAGGAGCAGAGGGAGCCATCCTCTGCGAACATCTGTGCCATGGTAGCAGAGGACACCCAGGATCACATCCCAGCTCTATCTGCCTGAGGTTTCAACCCATTGTGTGCATTTCCCCACACATGCCCCTTACCCTGCCCCTGCTCTTGTTCCGTGCTGAAGCAGACACTCAATTATTCATTTGGCTGGAGACTGTAAGAGTGAGCCCAGCTCCCCATGCCCCTGGTGCTTGGCTGGTGCAGTGCGTGCCAGTCCCTGCCCCAGCAAAAAATGAAGTAGTTCGTGCTTTGCTAAGAGAGCTCAAAAGAGCCCAGTCCCATGTCTCTCACATCCAGCAGGCATGAGAGAACAGCCCTAGTCCCCCCAGGATGCTCATGGCAAGGTGGGTGTCTGGGAAGGGTGCCTGGCTGTAGCCAGGGAAACAGGGGCCTGCGGTGCTTAGGACTTCAGTGCTATTCAGCCCCTGCATTTCTCCTTCCAAGTGCTTTGATTTGGAGAAGGTCCTTGGTGAGTTAATGAGCTGATGATCCCAGGTGGACAGGGGCAGAGCTGGATCTCAAACCTTTGCCTGGATGCGTCACAGCAATCATGGGTCTTCCCAGCCCAAGTCCTGAGTGAAGTGATGAGCCCTGCCCTGCCTTCTTTGCCTACAGGCTGCTGAAAAGCTTGTAGAAAACCCAGAAGAGCCTCCAAGTTCTCCTTAGTGCTGAGAAGTGTTTGTGCCTATTTCAGGTCTCTCTGCAGAAGCCGTATTACCATAACTAGTTGAAATGTTTCTCCATTAGCATATTTTTTCACATCAGCCTGCATGAAACAGTAAGTTATTATCCCCTTTGCCATTGTGTCAAGATGTACCAGGCTGCGGGCAGGACCTGCTGCTCTCCCCAGCCTGGCCTCAATAGCATGGCTTGTTGTCTGTGCAAGGGGCAACAATCTGGTGGCAGCTGATGTAAATCCCAGAAACACCACTGAAAGCAGCCCCAGTTGCCATCCCCTGAGAAGGTCTGGCCACAGAAATACAATAATGTGCAGAACCTCCTGAGGATGCCCTTCTCCAACAGTTCAGCCTAATGGTTGGTTCTGATGTGAAGGGAGCCCCTTCCAACCCTTACTTTTCAATTTCCAAGGCACTGGAGCATCCAAATCACTTCCAGATAGCTAACTACCTCCAGTGCGAATAGGCACATGAGTAATAAACCTTGCGTTTCTTCTGCCCTGCCATGGGAGGCACACAGAGGGCATGTATGGAGAGTTCAGCCACTGTACTGGGTGGCACTGGCTATGGGGGGCACGGTTTTGTCCCTGTCCTTAGACCCACAAGCTGATGGATGATGTACCAGTCCTAGCGCTGTTTACCCACACAGCATTTGCAAACCTTGATAAAAGGTTCCTGCCGGGAGCAGTCATCTTTCAGGTCCAATCTGCTTCATGGTGCCCACACCCAGCCCTTGAGGAGGGTCCCAGCGTGGAGCAGGACCTCCAGCCCTTCCAGGGAAGTCCTCGAATTCCCCAACCATCGTCTCCCCGCTACGCCTCATGGATGACGCTGACATCCTCGGCAAAGGCCGGCGGGCAACCACCGCCTGCGCAGACCGGTCCCTGGCAGCTCAGCCCGGGGGCAAAGGTCCGCGGGGCTCCCCGGGTCCGGGGCGCTCACTATCCCCTCCCCAGCCCGCCTCCTCCCGACGCCCGCTCCAGCCACCGGTACGGCTCCGCGGCGGGCAGCGGCGAGGCAGAGACGGGGACCCCGGGACCCCGAGCCCGAGCCCCGCCCTGCCCCGCCCCGCCCCGCCCCGCCCCGCCCCGCCCCGCCCCGCCCCGCCACACTGAGTGGGCCCCGCGGTGCGGAGCGGAGCGGCGGGGCGGGACGCGGCGATCGAGCCCGGCGAGACAGCGGCGGAAAGTGCCACGACTCCACACGTCCACGAAAGCGAGGAGGGACCGCGACCTGGCACGGGTGGGTAGGGGTGGCGGCGGCAGTCCCTTCCCCTTCGCCTGCCACTTCTTCCACGACTCTTTCTCTGTCTGCCCCGTGCTGCGAGCGGGACCCCCCGCTTGGCGTTTCTCCCATCCCCGGCAGTCGGCAGACGTGGAGCGGGATGAGGACTTCCCCCTCCGACCAGCGGCCCCGCCGCTCCCGGCCCCGAGGGGTGTCCCGCGGGCTAATCGGGGCAGGGAGGAAGGTGGGATCCCGGGCTCGGGGTCCGGCCCCGTTTGCGGAGGGCCGGGCAGATGAATGGCCCGCGGCGTGGCCAGGGCTGCGCGGAATGGCGGCGTGTGCGACCGGGGAGCGGGGGAGGCGAGGTCCAGGCCCCGAGCGCCGCCGGCCCAGCCCCAGCGCCGGCCCGATGACACACATTAATCTGATTAACCGCGGTTACAGAAGGTCACGACGTTCGGGCAGTTGTCTCTTGTTTATTTTTTTTCCCCTTAACTAAGCCCCCTCAACAGAACTCTTCTGGCATCGGGAAAACCCCAGCAGTGCGGGGTCCCCGAGCTTTCGGAGAGAGGCGTCGACCCCGTAAGTGGAGACCCCCACCCTGGGGTCTTTCCAACCTGGACATCACCAGGCTTCCCCCGGGTCTGCCGATGGAATGCCCCACTCCTCGCCCGCTGGGAAGCAGGCCAGGGGGAGAGCGTGTGCTGAACACGTGGCTGGACGCGACGGAGGAGCCTCCACACCTGTAATGTCAGCTCTGCCCTTCGCCGAAGCAGTGGCAGTGGCCTCTGCTTGCCTGCATCATCGGGAAATGGCTGGATAGAACTGGGGCTACCTGGAAAGTGAGCCACAGGGAGGAGCTGATGAGGGCCAACTGCTTTGGGCTGGGGAGGGGAGAGAAAATTTGTAATAACTGCCGCAGAGATTAGTCAAACTGCAGCTGTGTTATGGTGCTGTTATACTCTTTATATATATATATATATATATATATATATATATATGTATTTTCTGCCGGTTTTTTCACTCCGAGGCTTAGGAAGGGAGCTGGCAGCTCTGCCAAGCACTGCTGGCAAGCACAAGTCAGCTGGCTGCTGCTGCAAGAGTTAATGGAGCACTAAGACACATTCAGTTAAGTTGAGTTATAGCTGTTGAGGATTGGCTAATCTGGAGTTGCTGTGTAGAGTAACACATGCTGCCAGGAGGCTGCAAGTGCACAGTCACACAGAAAATGTATTTAAACAGAGTAAATGTATTTAAGCAGAGGCTGGGGATGTGGGCAGGATCTGCTCATGGTGTGCAGGTTTTCCTCATTTATTTTTAGTTTTGAGTCTATTGCAGTAGGGCAGAGAGAAACTCCAGGCGAAGTATCTGGTGATTGTTTTTTATCTGCTAGCAGTGCTGTTGTTTCTCCTGCTGATGGGCTGGCTTGCTGTTCACAGGATCAGGCCTCCCAGTTCCCTCTTCCTTGCCCTTTCCCTCCATTTTTTTTAACCTACTGGGAGATGTAGAGGAAAGGGAGCTGCAGGTGCTTAACAGGCAGGTGTTGCCGTGGGCTATGCAGAACCCATCTGCGTGAGTCCAATTCTCTCTTTCCCTTCCCTCTGCCCCCCCTTTACCTCTTGTGTATTGCTCTAACCTGAGATGCCACCTTGACACCATGTTGAAGTGCAAGTTTTGGTTTGGTGGGGGAACTGAGTCCTGCTTGCAGGACTGTTGCACCCATCTGCCGCACCTGTCAAGACCAGGAGGAGACAATGTAGATTTTCCTCTGGCTTTGAAAAGAAATAATATATCTGTAGTTACTGTACAACCTGTCTCTTCCTTTGCTCCTGCCCACCTGACACTTGGCCTGGCTCATTTAGGCCAGGGATGGTGGAGGGCTGGGTTGCAAAGATACCAAATTCCCATGGATTTCATGTGTGGGTGCAGGGGAGGAAAGGCTGAACAGATGGCAAGGTTCTAGCCTGGTTTTTGACTCTTAGCTGTCAGTGACAGATGTGACTACAAGACACTGAGCACGGCCCCGGTGCTGTCACGTCACATGTCTCTGGGTTGGTTCATCCTGGAAATTGGTGCTCAAAAACCAGCAAGGCCGAGTGCTTTACTGGTTTAGCTTCCTTAAGGCAAGTTGGACTTTTGCTCAGGTCAAACAGAGGTGATGGCACATGCAGGGAGGCGAGGGAGGTCAGATCTCTTGGGCTGTTACCTGAGATGTTGGGAAATTTGATGGATAACAAGGCCCAGGAACGGAAGAGTTGGAGAACAGCATTTCAGCCAGCTCTTGTTACATGAGAAGGCCAAATGAAATACCAGTTGTCCAGTGTATTCCTGTTCTTGTGGTGGTGAAAAGCTTTATTAGGGAAGGAGTTTGCTCATGGAAATATTTTGTGATTTCCACTGTTTTGGCTGGGGAAGGAGTAGAGGATGATTCTGCTCAAGAAATTTCATGGAGGTATATGTGCTCAATATTGCACGTGAACTTGATTTTTTGAGGATGGACTCTGATAACTGGTGGTGTCTGTGCACCCCTAAGGCACAACCTTCTCCCAGGGCAATCTGGGCGTCAGATTGAAAAATACCATTGCGGATGCAAAGTCCCATGGAGGACCAGAAGTTACAGAAGGGAGGATGCTGAAGTCTTTGAGCCTCTTCAAAGTGTGGCTGTCAAGCTGAACATGTGAGACTGCCCTTAGGCGTCTGTGAGCAGACAAGCAATGATATCTTTGCTGCCCTATTTTGCCATGTCCTGGCTAAGGCTTAGTGCAGGCAGGAAGCATGGAGGGCTTTCCTGCTGAAGGGCAAGGCACATGCACACCTACCATGGTTCTTGCAAAGAGGACTGCTGTCTTGCTGTGCAAATCCAGGAGCAAACTTTCAGCACTTCAAAGGGCAAAGGTGGCAAGGTCAGGAAATGCCAAAGCACAGCTTCACCCCTGATGCTAATGCTGTGACATAAATGCTACTTGTATCTATGCTTCAGTAAGTTCCCAGAGGAAGACTTTTCCTTATCCCCCAAATGCCAAGGCCAGCCTGCTTTGATTTAAGTGTGTTTTGGTTGTGTACAACCTGCTGCTGTCTTTGCATTCTTGGAGAGATAGGCTCTTCCCTGAACAAGCTGCTGGGCTGGTTGTGTCAAGTCTCGACCGCAGGAGGAACTCTACAGGTAGAACTTGCTCCTTGAAGTCCGCACTGGGTCTGCCAGGACCAGCCCCGTGCTGCAGGCTGCAGGGCATGAGCATTGGGACAGGACGAAAGTTTGCCATGATAGCGCTGCTGAGAGTGATTGCTGACCCGTTGGCGTCTCTCACTCTTCACTGTGGATGTTCTCCTGGCACACCTGTCCTTGGGAACAGCACGGGCTTTCTCTGATCCAGAGGTGGGAGCTTGGATGGCTCTTGCAAGCATCTCAGCTGTTTTCAGCACCTGGCTGCTGCCATGGCTCTTCTGCAGGTCCACAGCTCCTCTATCTAGTGCTCTCAGCTGCTTTTTTCTGGTATTTGTTTTGGTTTGGAGGGGATTGTTGGGGTGTTTTTGTTGAGTTAAGGAAGACTTCAGCTCTAATCTGCATCCTATCTCACCCTGGCTGTAAAGCTGGAGAAGAGGCAAGGTGCAGGCAGCTTTTACTGCAGCTGGTGGGGCTGGGTGAGGCTGCTTGGAGGGGAGAGGGAGCATGGGGCTCAAACACTGTAAGGGCTTCCAGGGTTCAGCCCTGGAGGGTGAGATGTTGGGCAGGCAGAGGGTCTGGTGCTGTGTCCAGCACTGCCATCTTACCAACCTCACCCTCTCCCCCTCTGTCCTTTCACCCATCCTCTGTAGTGGAGAGTTGGATTTTTCTCTCTATTCCCACCATTTTGAGGGTGGCAGTACCAGCTGGTGGGGTGCATTTGTCAGCATTGGGGATGCTCTTACCCGAAGCTGAAGCAGCAGATTTTTATCTATATATGAAGCTGTGGCAGTGTGAAGTCAGGAAGGGTTTAATTTTACTGATGTGATTCAGTTGCTGGGTGAGGAATGCAGGTTGCCTTTTTCTGCTGCTAAAACAGCTCCTGGATGGTTTGGTGTAGCCATAAGCCCAACACAAGGTTGTGGGTATGTGTTCTCCAGCCCTACATTTTATTTACTGCCAGGGAGAGGAAATCCAAGTCCATTTAATCCTATGGGTTAGGAATAATCTGTCTGTCCTGGTTGGGACCATCCCAAAGCGATGCTACTAGTCAGTGACTTAGCACCAGATGTGCTGGGATGGAGTGGGCTAAGGCCATTTAAGTTTGAAATGGCCGGAGTAGATGCGAAATAATGATGCCTGTAGTATCAGCTGTGATACTACACTCGAGTGGTGCCATGGGTTAGAAAATTGGCCCTGACAGGGGAAGCTGGTTCCAGGTGGTGCTGACAGCCCTCCTGCCTACCAGCTTCCCTCTCCTGTTTTGCCTGGGATGTTTGGAGAGGTGGGCAGGGAGAACTGGGCTGCTGGTTAGAACATCCTTCCCTAAGGCATCCTTCTCCAGTGGGAGATGGGTGCTTTGCAGTTCCTCCCAGCTCTGCACTCCCTGATTGGGTGTTGGAGGTGAGTTTTTCCATTACATTGTCCCCAGCTCACTGCAGGAGCAGCTTTGAACTGCAGACGCAGCTGCAAGTTCACTTCTCCAGCTGTTAGGAAGAGCCTCTGAAGTACCTCCTTGCAATCACTATGGTTTGAAAAAAAGCTGATCTCCTTAGTTTTATTCTTATTTTTGCCTCCTCCCTTTTTAGCCCCTCCCTTCCTCCTCAACCCACAACTTCTTAAAGAGGAAATTTGCTAATGAGTACAGGTAAGCGTGGGGATGAGAACTTCTGATAGCTGAGGACTTTCTGCATCTTGCTCATCCTGTTTTGGGTCACAATGATGAGAAACCACAGCCTTGGCAACTCCTTGAAAGTGCCCCTTCACAGATTAACTACCTGACACCAGCAGTCTAGGGGCTCATGAGCCATCTCATTGCCACATGGAAGTGATGACCTGATGGATGAAACACATGCATGGGACAGCAGCAATTGGTGTTGAAAGTAGGACAAAGTTCAATTAGCCATTAAGAAGAGTGGAGGTAATAGCATCTTTCTCCAGGTGTGACTGCACCCTGCTTGCCAGATCTCAGACCAGGCAGTATGGTCTCTGTTGATGCTCTGGGTGTTATACAGGTGGAAAAACTGGAGAGGAGAATGAGAAGTGCCCGGTGAGAAACCCCTGTGCCCGGTTTTCTCCCCAGCTAATAGCAGAGGTGGAAAGAGAAGCACCATATCCAGCACTCCCTTTGGAAGTTTCACTTCTTCCTGCAGAAGTCTCTTTGGAAAATGAGATAATTAATGACCATGGTTGACTTTTTTTGTTAGCTTGAACTTATGACTTTTATTGGTGAAAGTGGTTGAGTTGCTCCTGTGTGTGGTGTCCATGCATACAGCATTGTTGCTGGGGTGGTTCTTCTCAGTGAGAGCCGGGAGCAGCTACCCAGTGGGACACACTGTACATCCTCCCTGCCAGGCTGGACAGAATTCAGCAGTGCCACAGGGTACAGGTGGCAAAGGAAGAAGGGAAGGGCTGCTGCAAAGCTGGAGAAAACTCTCCTGTACATACTTTCTCCTTCCAGAGGGATATTTTATTCCAAAGCTGAGACCTAAATGTGCATCTGGGTTCAGTGAGAAAGTCAGGTGCTCCAGGGAAAGCCCAGATCTTGGCCAACCTGCACCAAATAGTCTGAAATAGGTTCTCTTACTGCTGCAGGTATTGCCTAGGGTCATGCAAAACCATCCCACTGGATATGGAATGAGGCTCGTGGCTGTCTCTGATTGCATCCCTGTTTTTTAATTCCCCCTCTTCGATTCTTCAGGAGATTGCTGCAGCTGGTGCAGTTTAGTCGCTGGGGTACAACCAGAATGCTGTGCGTGGGCAGTGCAGCAGAGGAGCACAAACTTGGGGGTGTGTGGGCAGATCGCCCTCAGTTGTGTGAATCTTGAGTGTTTGTCTTTTCGGTGCGTGGTGCTGTTTGGAGGCACAAATGTCCATGTGAGACTCCCTGCTCAGGGAAGCCATTGCATTTCTTTCCTCCCCCTGCCCTACTCCTAGCTGTTGTTCTGGTGTCTTGCAGGCACAGAAGAATAAGGCAGGATGGACGTGTATGACCCTCAGACACTGGGTGTTGTGGTCTTCGGAGGTTTTATGGTGATATCAGCCATTGGGATCTTCCTGGTGTCCACTTTCTCCATGAAGGAGACATCTTATGAGGAAGCCTTGGCCAAACAACGCAAAGAGCTTGAGAAGACCCAGCAGCAGAAAATGGAAAAAAAGAAAAAAGAGAAACCTGTTGAGAAAAAAGGAAAAGCAAAGAAAAAGGAAGAGAAACCTAATGGAAAGATCCCAGAGCAGCAGATGACTCAGGAAGTGACAGACCCTCCCAAGGATGTGGTTCTTGAACCTGCTGTGGTGCTTGAGCCTCTAACAGTTGAATCTCCAGTTGCAGCAGTGTCAGTTGTCCCTCAGGAAAAGGAGAAACCTATTCCTTCACCTAAGGATAAGAGGAAGAAGGAGAAGAAGGTGGCAAAGGTAGAGCCTGCTTCTAGCCCGATGTTGGCTTCAGCTCCTGTCAGTGTCCCCAAAAGTTCTCCTGTCCTGGAGGTGACCCCTAAGGAGGTGCCTGTTGTGGCTGTGCCCCCCGTTGGCACACAGCAAAGTGCTCCTGTCAACTCTGTCACCATCAAGAAAATCGATGCTCTTCTGACCCATGAGGAGCAGAAGCATGATGGACCTGTCAAGAAGAAGGCTGCATCCAAGAAGAAGAGCGAGCCAGGTAAGGCCAAATTCCTCTACCAAATATCCCCACAGAGTAAGCCAGCAGGGCATCTTGGTGCTGTTAAAACAGGCCTATCCCATTCTGAGATCTCTTCATTCTTGACCCTGTGGCCTGGGGATTGGAACTAGAAGATCTTTAAGGTCCCTTCTCCAAATCATTCTATGATTCTTCAGTGTTGGAAACAGGACAGCTCTAGAAAGGCTGTCTCTGGTGAGATGGGCCATGTGCACCTTGGGATAAGTGAGCTAAAAAAGCCTGTACTGGGGAAGTAGAATTGAAGTCAAGAGTTTATTGACTTATTTTCACTCTGCAGTGTGTTGCCTCCTGATCAGGTACCTCTAGTTGGTGCTTAGCTCCTTGGTCCTGCACACAGGTACTGTTTGGATTTGCTGTTGTGTTGTGGATCTCAGCAGATCTGCACGTGGGAATGAATGGGAAGTGCGTGTACCCATCCTGGGAGAGGGACAGCTGTCAAGGTGCTGGACATCTGGGTGAAAAGCCAAGATAAGGTGTTTTCCCCACACACCTGTGATTATTAAAAGCACAGAGGAGCTGTACCACAGTTCTACGTGGAAGTGGGTCACTGTTAGAGTTTCCTTGTTCTTCAGAGGAGGTGAAGAAGGATTCTTCAAGGAGAGGGGATTGATGGGATTTTATACTACAGGAGATTGATCATAGGGTAATTAGAGGGAAATGACTTTGGACATGTCACAGGGAAGGGAAAACTTACCCATCATCAATCATGCGTCACTTGATTGACTCGGAGATGGAAGAGATTAAAGGAAGTGGTCCTGAACTCTCCAGGTTATAAATAGGTGTAGGAAGGGGGAAATCAGCCCTGTGGCTGGATTCTTGCCGAATCTTACCAAAGGGAACAGTTTGAGATTTATTTTTGGCACTAAAAATATGCATGCTTTCAGACCTGTAGAATTGTTCCCATGTGGACACATGGGAGAAGTCTCTGAGGTGTCCTCAGGTGTGCATAGGTCTCATTTCTTTCTTTATTTACTAAAAAACCCCAACAAACCTACCAAATAAAAACACATCCCTCCTTGCTAGCCTTCTACAGCACATCCAAACCTAGGTTGCTGTGTAAGCTAGCAGTTTCCACACCCACGTTTTGGAAGAGGGCCTGTTTGTCAGCAGGACATTTGCAGCTGCTGGTTTCCAAGATTGGGTTAAAACCCTTGTATCTGTTCCTCTGAGGAAAGGGTTTTACTAAAGGCCATCTCCACATAGTGATGCAGTTTGAAAGGATTTGAGAAACTGCTTCTGGAGCATATTGCCGTGATGGTGTTGGGAAAACTAGAGGTGACTGGTCTGTTGTGTGCATTCACGGATGCACTTCTCTAACACTGGAAAACGTAGCCCTAAATCCAAGCTGTAACAGCTAAGGGAATGTGGATGGGAAATGAACTTTTAGCATTTGTTAAGTTTGGAGTTTTTCTGGCTGCTCCAAACTTGGGTATTCCCTTGGTATGAAGTGCCAATCCTGCATGTAGTAAAAGCCAAGAATGTTGTCTTCTTAGCTGCTCCTGTGGGATTTTTCAAAGGAAAGCTCTAGTCAGTATTTGCACCCTGAAGCCGACTGCAGTTTGACCAAAGTCTTGTGGGCAGCCTTTGGCAAGCTGTGGTCTCTCCTCTTCAAAGACAAAAGCAACAAATTATCCTGTGGCAGATAAAAATCAGTGTTCAAAGACACATGCTCAGCACTGAAACCAATGGCAAACCTGATGAGAGCAGCTTGCGGTGTTTTTCTCTTGCGTAGTTTGTTTCACCCAAGTTCCCTTGGGTGGAAGAAGTGGCTCTTCAGACCCCTTGTCCTGCTGTGCTTTCCCATGGCAGCTTTGCCACATGGCTGGTTCTTGTTCAGCTGCTTCCTTAGCAAAGCACAGTTTCCAGCTCTGTACATGGGCTTGGTGTCAGCATAGGCTTCCTTGTGCCACAGCTTGGCAGGCTGCCCAGGCTCCACGTGCCAGCTGCAAGGTGGGGTTTGCATCATGCCTGCCTTTGCAATGCTCTCTTGCATGACACCACTGGGAGATGGGCAGAGTTTTGCTTTGTGTTGGTCCCTCCACCCAGTGGGACTGAGCCAGGGAATGCGTCGTGCTGTCCTGCATCAGTTCGGTTGCCAGTGTGAGTAAAGTGTGAGCCAAGCATTGGGCCCTGGTTGCACTGCTAGGAAGTGGCTGTGACTGGTGAGACAGACTCTGCTGCTGCTAGGGTTAGTGCTTCCATCTCAAATGGATCTATCAGAAGCCAGGAGCAAGCAGTGTGTGCTGAGGCTGCTAGGCATTCTTGGGCTCTGCCACCAGTGCTGTGGTGGGTTGACTGTGGCTGACTGCCAGAAGCCCACCCAGCTGCACTCTCACTCCTCAACAGAATGGGGTAAAAATAAGAAGAGGAAGCTCATGAGTCAAGATAAAGATAGAGAGATCACTTAGCAATTACTGTCACTGGCAAAACAGACTTGACTTGCAGAAAACTGATTTATTTCCAATTAAACTAGATGAGAAAGAAGATAAAACAATACCTTCCCCCTACCGCCCTCACTCCCAGGCTCAACTTCATTCCTTCCCTTTTGACTTCTCTAACTCCCATACCTGAGTGGTGCCGGGGAATGGGGACTGTGGTCAGTTAATAATAGCCCCTTTCTGTAGCTCCTTCCTCCTCACAACTTTCCCTGCTCCAGTATGAGGCCTTCCATGGGCTGTAGTCCTTCAGCATGGACTGTTCCAGCATGGACTCCTCTCTGGGGGCTACCAGAGAAACTGCTCCAACTCCTGCAGCATCTCTTCCTCCTTCTTCTCTGAACCTTGCTGCTCGGGGTATCCAGGGTTTTTGTTCAAGAGACCCTGGTTTTAATAACTTCGGTGGGGGGGGGGGCTCTGGCGCTACTGACCTCCAAACTGCTTTTTCTTCTGTGATTTTCTAGGAAAATAAGCCCATTGGGCTGTAGATACCGTGTGGTAAACTCCTAAACCACTGCCCAACAACCTTTATCCATCGTGACCATGTGCATGTCGTACAACAGCATCATGGTCCCTGATGCTCCTTGGCTTTCCCAGGTTATCAGAGGGGTAGGGGAAGGGTTGGAGTCATGTTTTATGCCTAGCAAAGAACTTGAGCAAACTTGCCTGGTGAAAGGTGGGAAATGACCTTGCTGCATTCTGCATCAGTGGCACCACTGCGTGGGGTGACGTCCTTCAGCAAGGTTGTATTGCAGTGCAGTCCAGCTTCTGATGCCCAACACATCTATGCACCCTGGCATTGACAAAGCATACCCAGCTCCCGCTGAGAAACACTCAGTTTGCTGACGGGTGATAGCAGTGTGCTGGGACCAGTAGTAGAACCAGGCAGAGGTAGCAGCTGGCTTAAGAAGCACATGTGTGGTGAGTATCACCTCCAGCACTTTTTCATACTGCTTTCACTTAGAGAGGCATCAAACGTGACTGTGGAAATCTGGGTGGATGATGGTTTGATGTGGTAGTTGTGGGGTTAAAGCCAACTGAAATGATACTATATCTCTGCCTCTGTCCCCAGCAGTACCAACCCCTCCTCTCTCCTCCCTAGCACCTACAGATTCAGATGGGCCCCTCTACCTGCCCTACAAGACACTCATGTCCACTGTCAGCAACATGGTGTTCAGTGAGGGTGAGGCCCAGCAGCTCATCGAGATCCTGACGGAGAAAATGGGCATCATGGACACCTGGCACACGGTAGGGCTACCATTGCCATTGTGGCCACCTGCTACCAGGGCTCTGCCGAGGCTCGGAAAGTGGGAGGGGATGGAAGGCACCCCACTTTTGGGCAGGCTGGCCCCTTGGAGACTGGAGCTGAATTCTACCCTGGAGCAGAGGGCAGGATTTTGCGCATCTGCAAAGGGAGGGTATGGGTCCGAAGGTGGTCATCCCCACTGATTTGCCATCCCATGCTGGCAGGCCACTCAGAAGGGTGACCCAGTTGCTGCCCTGAAACGCCAACTGGAAGAGAAGGAGAAGCAGCTCTCAGCCGAGCAGGAGGATGCAGCTGCTGCCAGAAACAAGCTGCGGGAGCTGAGCAAGGTAAGCACTTGCTGCTTTCTACGTCTTACCGCCCTTGCAGGTGAAGCCCTGGGGCTCTTTGGGCTCTTCACCTGTTTGCTGTTTTCTTCCCAAAATGGGGAGGAGATCCCCACCTGACCTCCTCTCCTGGGCCTCATCCAGTCTGGGGAGGCACCAGCCTGAAGAACTGCAGGGTAGTGCCCTTTGGCAGCCATAGGGGAAGCAGGAGAAAACCCTTCCCTTAAGAGATTGCAGCTTTTTTCTGCTTCAGGGAGAAAAGCAAATCCCTTCTAATCTCTGCCTGGATCCCCTGAGCTGAGAATGTGCCTTTGTAGGGAGCTGGATGCTATCTACAGTGCCCTTTCCTTACTCAGACTCACCTCTTTTGGGTGTTGAAGGCTGAACAGACCCTCACCATGCTGAACTTGGTGGCTGGCAAGTCCATCTGTATAATTTTCCTGCTTGGTCCCAAATGTTATGTGATGTTATTGATCCTGGGGGAAGGAGGGAGGTGGGGAATAAAACTCCAGGCTGTCTTACTCCTTTCTCTTAGCTGGCCCAATATGGAACAACAGTGGCATCCAGTGGCCACAGAGCCCAAAACAAAATGCAGGAGGAAATGTAAGTGCTAAACATACCTGGACATGGGGGCACCAGTGAAAGTGCTAAACTTTTTAGTCTTCTGAACTAGGAGGCCAATGGTTTAACATCCCCTTAAAATGGGAAAACCCATACTCTGAGAGCTAACGGGATGACTTCTTTGCTCAAAGGACCTGGCAGCAGAGCGGGCCAGGGCGGTGGCTGCAGAGGGCAAGCTGAGGGAGCAGCTGGTGGCCCGTGAGCGGGAGATGGCGGCGGTGCAGGTGCGCATGCAGGCCAGCTACCAGGACCATGTCAGTGAAACGCAGCAGCTCCAGGTCAAGGTGAGCCCCATGCTGCACTCTGAAGCTTCCTCCTTTAGCTGCCAGGTGGCTTGTGGTGGCAGATGTGTGGTCTTTAGGAGAAGACTGAGCTATGTGAACGGGCAAGAGCCTCTGGAGGAGGGGGGCGAGAGCCTGTGATGCTCCTGGACCATGGTGGTCAAGGGAGAAGAGGCCCATAGGAGCAGTCTCATGGGATGTCATGTCCTTGGGGGCTGTCAGCATCAGCAGACACTCTCCGGCTTTGCCACTCTCTCTTGCTCATCTCATGGGCTTCAACAAGGAGAGTAAAGGGGCCAGTGGTGGCATTAACCCTTGTTGGGCTCCTCTAGATCCGGACCCTGCAGGAACAGTTGGAGAATGGCCCCAACACACAGCTGGCTCGCCTGCAGCAGGAGAACTCCATCCTGAGGGATGCCCTCAACCAGGCCACCAGCCAGATGGAAAGCAAGTAAGGTTGGGGTGAGGGGCTGTTCTCTGGCAAACTCTGAGGTTGGCTGACCATTTGGCATGGCCACTCCCTTTCTCTAAGGTGGAGGTAGAGAAGGGAATGAGGGAGGAAGAGCTTGCCAAATGGCTTTTGGTGGGCTGCCAGGGGAAACAAGGATGTTCTTCCCAAATGGAAGGGCGGGGGGATCCCATCCCTCTCTGCATTGAGGTCACCTGTGCTGATGCTAGAGCTAACAGGCATTGGAGGTGGGAGAGGAGACCAGAAGGCACTCTGGCACTCTTCCTCCATAGGGAAGCTCATATTCTCATACTACTGCATTGAGAAGAAATGCAGCTGGCTCTTTGATGGGAGTGATGCTGCAGAGAATGGAGACCAGCTTGGTGTGTGCAGAAAAAAAAGGAGCTAGGTAGAAGAATTTCAATTTCACACTCCTTTTTATAGGAAGTCTGAAATGACTGGTGATTAACAGCAGTCAAATAATTACAGAGCGGACTCCAGCTGCTTGTAGTGTTTCCTCTTATATCTGGGAAGACAGATCCTCATGTCTTCTACTTCATAAGAAAGGAATGTTTCTCATGGCTGAAATGCAGCTTTTCTAAAGTGATTTGACAGCTCTTCCAGCCTCTCCCTGAAGAACCAGGTGTGTCCTAGAAATAGGCAAGCAAAGCCATTGAGGTGTTTCAGGTCCTGTATGATGACAACAGAAGGATGTGTTCCCCCCTAAGCAACATCAGAGAGGCTTGAGTGGCCTGTGGGCTAAAATAACCCTGCTTCTGTTGATGCAGGCAAAATGCTGAGTTGGCCAAGTTACGGCAGGAGTGCAACAAGCTGATGAGAGAGCTGTCTGAGAAATCGGAGGTACTGCAGCAAGAGGAGCAGCAGAGGAAGAGCTGCGAGATCAAAGCGGCGGCTTTGGAGAAGCAGAACGAGCAGCTGCAGGTCAGGCAGGCACCAGCAAACCTACTCCCCTCACAGAGATGGGCAAGTGGCTCACTTGCGTGGGATCTGTGGACTTGGCCACGGGAAAAGCTATGTTTGGGAAGGAAGCTGCCTTGCAGGCTTCCTAATTGCTTTCCCCCCCCATTAGTTTGTCACATGCATTGTGCATCTTGCACAGGAGTCTGATGTCTTGCATCACCAGCAGAGCCCAGGGAGCATGATCTTGAAGCTCTTCTTCTATGGGTGCTCTCTTGAAGCTCAGATGTTTTTAAGCCTGTTGCTCTCCCTCCCTGGTGCAGGAGATAGAGCTTGTGGCTTTTTTTGTTGTGGCTGGGTTTGGGGTGTTCAGGGGTGTTAAAAGGACACCTCCCAAGTAGAGCCTCTGAGCACACAATGGTGTGTTTCTGGCAGGCTGGCTGTACTCACACGGGGAAGAGCATCTTCTGGGGGGATTGACAGTGCTCTTGCTGGGATGCTGCTGAAGTGGATGCTGGGACCATTAATCCCAGGGTAGCAGAGTGAGGGATATGTCCCTCTGAATTGCTCTGGTCTCTTTAGGAAGGGACTGTGGTGAAGGAGACTTTTATCTGCACGTGCCAAAATGGTTTTGTAGAGGTGTTCCTAGAACAAGGGACCTTTGATATCCTTGCTCTTATTTTTTTCTGTACACATCTCTTTTTGGTGGGCTGCATTTAGCCCCAGCTACTTTTGCAGGCAAGGGGCATGATGCAGACACACAGCTGGTGTGAAGGCAGAAGCCACCTTCCTGGCTCAAAACTCCTAGCTCAAAGCTCTTAGACATGCTTTTAGGAGAACTTCTCCAGGGCTGTCAGCTTGCTGCAACACCTTAACGCTAATTAAATAAATCATACTAGCTGGAAGACTTTGAAGTCAAGGATGTGTTTAAAGTGCTGGGGAGAATGTAACAGAGTAACACCTGGATCTCTGAGCTGAGGATAGGGAATCAAATCCTCAAAGAACAGAGAAGTCCTGCTTTCTTGGTGTACTGGAAGCATCGCTTGGACAGAGACCATCCTGCTAGTTTACCTTTCTCTGTTCCCTCAGTGTTTCTCCATCTGCAAGGGTGCAATTTGTACCTGCAGAGCTGCAACTCATCCTTCTCCTCTGCCTTTCCCCTCAAAATGCCTGCCTTGGCCAGGCCTCTTCCTTGCTGCTTTCCAAGATGGAAAAAAAAAGTATTCCCTGGCCCAAACCACACAGAAAATTCATCCATGTGTGGAAACATGTGGTTGGATGTCTCTGTCCTGCGGAGCACCTCTCTCTGCTGGGCTGAGGCAATGTGTTTGGACCGGAGTTTTAAGCAGTTTTTCAGAGCTTAGGTTTCCAGAGGGGAGGGTGGTCTTGGCCCAGAACTGAGACATGTAGGTATTGTCTGCTTCCCAATTTGAGGGCAAATGATAAAATGTGAGCACGAGGTGAGATGCTTCATGCACAGGGGAAATGTGAGGAAGGGGTGACTTAAATCCCCCAAAGTACAGCTTAAAAATAACATTTTGTGGCATATGGAGCTTTGCTTCAGATTGGCCGGGGTGTCTGTTACACTGTAGGAAACTTCTCTTCCTGCTGTGCAGGCTTCCCAACAGGAGGTGGAGGTGCTGCTGCAGAAGAGGCTGGATGAAGTCGGTGATGAGCTCCGCAAAACCCAGACCAGCTACAAAAGCTTGTTAGCAGATGCAGAAAAGGCCAAAGGACAGCAGCAGAGCATTGCTGGTGAGAAATGGGGATTGGCATGGAAAGAGCTGTGGGGCAGACAGGGAACTTCCAGAGCTGGGTGCTCGGTGGAGCTAGTCCAAGGAGTCTACAAGTAGACCCAAGATAGGCTGCCTGGTGTTGGTGTGAGCAGGATGTGGGCTGGTCCATGGTTCTGTTGTAGGATGTTACTCCAGTGCCTCTCTCCTGTGCTGTCCTGAATCCCTACCTCCCCTTTCTGTGCCTCCTGAAAGCATTCACAGCCAAGGCTTCTTTGGCTAAGATTCTGCTTGGGCAGGGCAGGATGGGGAGTCTCCAGTTTGTTTGCACCTACCCTACCATGTTTCTTACTCTTTCCTCCAAAAGAACTGCAGGCCAAACTACTGAGTTCCGAAGCAGAGGTTAAAAGTAAGTTGATGGAGTTGGACAGTGTGAAAGGGAAACTGCAGGATGCCAGTTCGGAGAATACGAAGCTTCTGGAGAGGATCAAATCCATCGAAGCTCTGCTGGAGGCAGGCCGGATGAGGGGGGCAGAAAAAGACAGAGACTTGCAGGTTATGTGCTCATTTAATTGGGGTGGGAGGAGGGGAGTGGGTTACACTGCTCACATAGTACCTGTGTTACCTTTCTTCTGGGGTCCCCTCTGGAATGCCACAGAAAGGATTGACCTGCATCATGTGCCATGGGCAGGTACAGAAAGTGCTTTCTCTCTTCCAGGCAGCCAATGAAGCAGAAATGAAGCAGCTGCAGTCAAGGTGGGTCTGGCTGCACATGGAGACTGCTATGGCACCTCCAAGCTTGCTGTCCATGTGTCCCAGGCTTCCTCAAGCACTGAGCCTGTCGGTGAGGGCTTCCTCCCTCCAGTCAGGCTTGGGGACTACCAAACTGGGAAATCAAGGTCAATCCTGGCCCATAGTGCTGTTTAAAATATTTATTGGCTCCAGCGCTGACCCCAAATAACAGCCAGTCCATTTTGAAGTGGGACTGAATTGCTGGCAAGCGCGTGGATTCTGACCAGTCTTACAGAATAGGAGGTTGTGGTGGTGTTGGTCCTAGCTATGGGATGTTTCTGATCCAAGTCCCTGCTCAAGGCTGGGCTAACCAGAGTAAGCTTTTTGAAAATGTTTCCGGGTATCTCCAAGGATGGAGACTCACCACTTCTCTGGGTCCCTGTTCCAGTATTTGATAACCTCTTCCCCCATTCCCTGGTGCAGAAAGGTTTCCTGACATTTGAATGAAGTTTGCAACTCATTCACAACTTATGCCTGTTGTTACTTGTCCATGTATTGGGCACCTCCGAGAAGGTTCAGACTCTGCATGGGGGAAGGATTTCTCAGCTGCTACGGTTGCCAGGAAACATCCAGCATTCCTCTAAAGGAAGGCAGCAGTTCTCCTGGGACCCCAGGAGACTTGCGTAGTTCTTATCAAGGACCTGAACCTTCCTTGGTTTGCTCAAGCTGAGGGTCCCTTCAGGGCCTATGGTGGATCTGGGGGAGTGGAGGGAAGCTGCAGGCTCTCTGGTGTCTAACTGACAGCCCTGATTTATGATTATTCAGGATAGTAGGATGATACTTCCAAAACGTGGAGCTGTGGGCTATCTCAACCTAACAAGCTGTGGATAGGAAGAGTCTCAGTTGTGGCCTTTGGATCACTTTTCTTCTTCCTCTTTTAGTATGTGTACAGCCAGACAGCTAGTTGCTTGCTTGTTATTTCTCATAAGATTTTTAAAAACTAGATCCTATTCCAGTGTTGCATTGGCTGTGGTTTTCAGTCCTGCTCCCTCTCCATCCTGCTGTGTGTAGATCCCGGAGCAGACCGGGATAGGAAGGGCTATCTCAGGAGCTTGCTACCCAGGAGGGAGATGGATGCTGAGACTCACTCCTGCATCCTGCTATTCCAGACTCCAGGAGAACACAAACCAGCTCTCATCCTTGGAAAGGGAAGCCACAGAGCTGCGAGAGGCAGTGGAGCAACAAAAGATAAAAAACAATGTACGTGAGTGAACAACAATCCATCACAGTTATATACTGACGGCTCTCTGGTGCAGTCAGAGGCTCTTCCAGCCCCACAGAGCACTGGAGGTGTTGCCTTGTCTCCTGGAGAGCTGAAAACGTCCAAACACCCCACTGGCCTGTGCAGCTGAAGCTGATGGGCTGTAGCAGGTGATGGACTCCTGGGGTAATACGTCTGTCCCCTGTTCTCTTGGGAGGTTTAGGACCTGGTAAGCCAGAAAGATTCTACGTGGCAGGGCCAAGGCAATCCCTGAGGAGGCTCCCTCACATCTCACTGCTCCCATGCTCCTTCTCCCTCTACTGTAAAGTGGTATCGATTAGGTGGAGGCCACCTTATGTCCTCCCTCCACTTGGCCTGTGTCTTCTCCACACAGAGCTTCTGCCCCCTTCCAGCTCTGCCCTGCTCCCTTAAGACCACTTCCTGAGCAATGCAGTGCGTCAAGCCACTGCAAAGATGAAGGGAAAAGGGATGCATGTAGGCAGTGGGATGGAAGACCCTTGAACAAACCGATGGTCTACTGCCCAACTTCCGAAGTGGAAGCTTTGAAATCCTCCTCAGTACCAACAAGCAAGTTCATGGCCTTTGGCATGAATTGCGGCTTATTGCCCTCTGTGTTCTCCACAGGACCTTCGTGAAAAGAACTGGAAAGCAATGGAAGCGTTGACCATGGTGGAGAAGGCGTGTGAGGAAAAACTACTTGCTGCTACAAAAGCAAAGGTAAGCCTGGCATTTTTCTCTGGCAGTGATGCTGGTGTAGGAATAGAAGCCACCAGACATGCTTGCCCTCTTAAGAGCAGTGCTGGCCCAGCCCTCCTGCCAACTTCTCCAAAGTTTGTCTTGAGGGCTGGGTATCCCTGGTTCCTGTTGTGGTTGGGGAACAGGGTAGATGGATGAACTGGAAGTGACGTTTTCATGGTTCCTGAAGTTTTCTGTGTTGACTGGTTTTCTGTGCTGCCCTGTAGGCACGGAAAAGCAGGACCAGTGTTGGCAGCCTGGCTGGCAGGTGCCCAAGACCTCCATCCCATGACAATTTGTCTCTCTTACAGGAAGAGCTGGCCCAAGAGCTGGACGCTTTCCAGACACGAACTAAGCAGACTCTGCTCTCTGCCTTCCCTGGAGTCAATGTGTCCTCACAGCAGGTGGGCACAGGTTTTCTCAGACCCTCACAGAGCATCCACCACATGGGAAGGAGAGATGTCTAAGCATCCTCTTTCTTTGTTGTTCTCTTTTTTTCAAACTCAGGATTATGATACTTGGCTACAGGAGTTTAAGGAGAAGACTGTGAGTGTGCTAAAGCACCAGGTGATTACAGCAGAGCCCCCGGTAAGTGAAGGGGCTGGAAAGTGGAGGGGCAAAGGAAGTGCTGGAAGGTCACGTATTTCTTTTCCTCACCTCTCTCTCCCTCCTCTCCCTCTCTTTTTAGGATTCAGCTCTTAAATTGAAAGAGGCAGAGGAAGCACAAAGCACTTTACAAGCAGAATGTGAGCAGTATAGAACTATCCTCGCAGAGACAGTAAGTTGCTGCCCTTTGTGCTGTGTTGGCCTTCCACTGGAATACCTCTTGAGAGGTCTCCTAGCAGCCCAGGCTGCCCGTGAGCTCAGTGTGAGCATCCCTCGGTATGTTGGGGGGGCTGCCATGTGGAAGACTGTCACTGAGACAGAGGAATAAGAGAAATGTAAGTTTCTAGAGCTCTTCTTCAGCCTAATTGTGTTGGAAACCTTCCTGGTGGTGATGGGATGTGGCACAGATGAGCAGGGTAGTTGAGCCAGAATAGGAATTAGGAGCCTCCAGCCCCACCCAAGGCATCTAATTCTGTCACACGTTCTTCTTCCTGGAGAGGCTTTGGGTATGCCAGGGCTTCCAGCCCTGGCACTGCTCAGGTTAGTGGGGGCTGGAGGAAGTTTGGGCTCAGCTGAGACTTTGCCAACAGGAAGGGATGCTGCAAAACCTGCAAAAGAGTGTGGAAGAGGAGGAGAAGATCTGGAAAGCAAAGCTCACAACCTCTGAAGAAGAGCTCCAAAAGGTACGTGTTTGCAGCATACCTGGGTTTGTTGCTCCTGGAGCTGGACTTCCAGGAGAAGGTGACCCTAAGTGTTCCTGCCTGCTAACTTTGAACCCCACACACGCAGACTTTCTCTTCTCCCCAGAAAATCTACTCCTCCCGTCACCAAAACAACTGCCAAAAATCCCACCTCATCCAGAATCTGCACCTGTCTTCCTCCCAGATTCCACATTTCTGCCTGGTGTGTGCCTAGACTCTGTCAGTGGAGCTGGAGGAAAGGCTTCAGCTCCTCAGTTCAGGCGTGATAGTTGTGAGACCATGTTACCTCTTCAGTAATCCAAGCTCTGATGCTTGGAAATCAGGCTGGACCCTCCTGGTGGGCACTGGCTAGGTGGGAGGAGAGCACTCTTCAACTCTCATTTTCTGGAGAACTTGGCTTGCTCTCAAAACATGGATTGACCTTGGCACTTGTTGAGCCTTGAGAAAGGAGCTCAGATCCAAGCCACGTACTGCACATAGTTTAGGGTCCAGCTATCTGTCTAGCTCTGGGTACTGCTTTTCCTAGTTAAAAAGCCAGTCAGCAGCTGCCAGAGAGCTGCTGTTGCCTAAGGGGTTGGTAGGGAGCATGTTCCATGAGCTCTTGCGACTTAGCTTGAGTCTGGGAGGACTTGGGTGGCTGTGCCTTTTCTGCAAAGCAGACTGATGTTGTCTCCTCCCTCTTGAATGCAGACTGAGTTGAAGCTATTTTCCATGGTCTACCTCTCCCCATCCATCACATGGGATTTTGAAGTTAACTGGGACTGCAGGGAGGTGGGGGAGCTCTTGTACAAGAGATCTTTGATTTCTCAGCCTGTCACTGACTCCTGGAGCACCAGTGCTTGCTGTTGAGGGCTGGTGTAGGATTGCACAAGATGACATGGCTATTGGTGGTGTGTGTGATGGGATGAATGCCTGGTGGCTAGAGCAGGTCCCAGAGCAGTCCTGCCTCTTAGTGGAGAAGAGGTGAATTCCTCCTTCCAAAAAATTTCAGCATCTGTGGAGTCCTCTTCAAAAATCAGCTCAGGTTTAAATGCAAACCCCATGCTTTTTCTGGTAGATTGGCTTCTCTTAATAGTGAAGTCCATGACACCTCACTGGAAAGTCTACCTTGCTGCTTCCAAAGAGCACTTTCAGTAGGAAACTTGTTCAGAGTCTGGTGCCAGTTTTTTGGGTGTTGAAACCTGGCTGCAGCCAACTGAATTCCTGCAGGCAGAAGGTGTTACTTTGCTCCACAACTTATGGCCTGGGCATGTTGGACTCATCCTCCCTTAGAAGAAAAACTCCTCTGCAGGCTGCAGAGCTTCACTTTGTTATCAGGTCTCTTTCACACTTGGGTACAGGATGAAGTGGGAGAGATGGGAGTGAAAAATCAACCAGTTTTTGATTGAACCAGAGCTGCTCACTGTCCACATGAGATGCTGTTCACTGACCTTCGCTGATGCTTTCTGCTTTTAGTCACACTTCCAACTGAAATCCCTTGAAGCCATGGTGGAGAAGTTGAAAGCAGATCTGCAGAACACAGATCAGGTAAGGTTTTGGGGGTACGGGAGAAGGTCTCCGCACAGGTGCCAGGCAGATGGATGCTTTGCTTGGGTTGAGTCTGGTTCTATTGCCATGGGGAAGGCAGACTTTGACCATGGGATGTTTGGGATGTGTTGGACCTCAATCAACCTCTTCCTGCTTTCCTCTCTTTTATTCCAGCTAAAGGAATACACCTCTCTTCTGGAAATGCAATTGGAAAATCACTTGCAGACAGCCAGTTCTGAACGTCAAAACTACACAAAGGAAGTTGAAGTTGTAAGTGTGGTGGCTGTTACCTTCTTAATCACGTTTTTCTTCTAACCCTGACTCACCACCCATGCACATTTTGGGGATTTGAGGAGTGCCCTGGGGATCTGGGAAGTGCCCCAGGGCTCTGCAGCTTTGCAAAGCAGGAGAAAACAGGTGGAGGTAATTGCACCAGTCTAGGTTGTAGACACTGAAAGTCAGAGGATCCATGGGCAAGGTGATGGTTCAGGGAGATCTGTATGGAGATGCTCTCTGCACTGCTTCTTGGTGGCCTCTGTGATTTCTGTGGCTCAGGTGAGACGGAGCTGTCTCGTGGCCATCTCTGTGAGCAGGCGATAACATCATGACCTCTTTGGGAATATGTTGCATTGTAAAAATGCTTCCTTGGGCCAAAGCATTCCAAAATCAAGTGCATAAAAGGACTTTTTTTTTCCTTTCTGTTCCTCCTCAACAGTTGAGGCAGCTCTTGTCAGAGTCCCAGGAGCAGCTGGTGGCAGCAAAGACTGAAACGCAGAAGCAGAGCAAGGAGCTGGCGCTGGTAAGGGGGGTCCCTGGAGCTGCCCTGATGGGATCCCGATGCTCCTCCTGGGGTTGGTTTGCAAACCCAGCCGTGGGGCCAGCACCCTTGCTGTGGATTCAGGGAGGAGAGGAAGAAGGCAAAGCTAGTGCACAGGGGAACCTGGTGCTGCCAGGCACCAGACTTTCAGAGGGGATGTTTGAGACACAGGAGGAGATTTTTATTTTTGTCTTTCCTCCCGTGATTGCGGTGGGAAGGAAGGGAGAGCAGCAAGATTTGTGCAAGCTGGTATGTAGCAGAAAAAAACAGCTGCCCCACCACTGGACACTGGTTACCCCAACACCATCATGAGACAGGGGTTTGGGTGCCTTAAAGCATCCATCCATCCACCTCTGGATGGAGGACTGAGGTTGTGCAGCCCATATGTACAGGTCACTCAGGGAGCTGAAGGATGGGGCTAGGTTTCTGCAGGTAAGTGGTAGGGAGAGGACTGGGATATAGGGCCAGGAGACACACTTGTGTTCCTCCAGCAACTTTCCCTTTCTTCTGGCCAAGGCACACTCAGCCTGCAGCTTGGCTACCACTGCTACCGTGATGCAGGATGGAGACCTGGTGGTCAATGGAGTGTGGGGGGATTGGGAGTGGGCAGTGTTCAAGTAACTGCCTTCCCAGTCATCCTGGCTGTGATCCATGGCAGAATGGGACCTGCCACTCTGCCTTGATTTATTTAACACCTTGACTGTGTTATGCAAACCCTCAGGCAGTGGTTCTAAACAAAGGTGCCAAAGGATCAGAGCAGATGAGCCATGAGCATGTGTTCTGCACGATTGGGAGCTGTGATGCCTCAGGCTACCCAGGTTAGATACCACTGTCCTGCATCTGGCAGGAACTGAGGTGGTTTTTCCAAACATTTTGGCTTGCGTGAAAGCAAAACATCTGGCAGGCTTTATCTGTAGGTTGTTATGAGCTGTGTAAAGCTGCTGCACAGGGATGTGTAACTGAGCCAGGCTTACTGGTCCTCCCTCCACGTCAGGCAGCAGCTGAGTGAGATGAAGAGCCATGTACAGGATGGAGAGGTAGCAGGGTTACAAGCTGACCCAAGCAAGCCTGTACCCCTCAAGGTTAGGATGGTGAGACCACTGCCTGTGGAGGCACTGACCCTTAATTAAGCGTGTCCTGTCTCACCATCTCTTAACTGCATGGAGAACTGCCCGTGGCTATGCTCAGGGCTGTCACAGCTATGTTGTCTCCTGTCCTGTATGCTGGGGAGAAGCTAGCCCCCCATCCCTTCAAGCGTGTTCTGTTCCCACTGGGAATGTACAACCAACTGGCTTCCACCAGGTTGATCCCCTTGGGAGCCCTCCATCATTGCATCAGACTGGCAAGATTTGGGGGGGATGCAGGCAGGGCATGCTGCAAGCCCTTGGGCCAGCATTGCCATGTGACAATGCCCTGTTGGGTTCAGGGCTTGGGTCTTCTTGGAGAAAGGGGACACCCCAACGAAGTTGTGCCAGGATCCCTTCCCAGCTGGGGGGATTAGGATTACAGAGCTCCATAAATTGCTGGAGCTGGGCTCAAGGCATTAGCAGTAGCTGTTCCCTTTCAGGCTGACACCTCTTGCCAGTAGCAGTGCTGCCATGAGTTGGGCTTTTTCTCCTTTAATCCTGTTAACTGTGAGGCCTTCTCCCAAGTATGGGGACCTGCCAGGCACATCTTCCTTATGGGGTGCCTTTCATCGCATGTCCCAGCCAACACTGCCTGAGGAGCAAGCAAAATTTGGCACTGCAAAGCCAAGCCCCCAGACATCAGTATCCTTCCAGCTCTTGTGCTGAGGAAGGATGCTGGTACCTATTGCCCTTTGATGTCCTGGGGAAAGCTTCCATTTTTATTTCTTCTGTCTAAGCCCAGCCTTCTTGGTGATGTCCCTGCTAGCTCATTTCTTGAGTAATTTTTAAATTTTATTTCTGGGTGTTTTCCCCTTTTCTCAACAGTTGAAAACCCAGCTGGAGCAAAACAAAACACTGGTGGAGAAGGAACAAGTGCTGCGGCAAAAGCTGGCATGGGAGCTGGAGGAGGTAGGTGTGGGCAAGGAGGATACAAAGGTTTGCAAAGCCTTTATAAGTTCTTGGCTGCTAAAGAAGCCCAAGAATTAATTTGAAGGTGTTTCCTCATCACTGTCCGTACCTCAGACATCAGTGTATTTATTCCCTTACACTTCTGAAGAACTTCTTACAGCAGCATGTGGCAACACTGGCCTCTCAAATTGCCCCTCTCCCAGTCCCCCCATGTCTTTTGCCAGCTCTTTCCCTCGAGGGTTGAAGGCTCTAGCTGGGTTTCATGCCACTCCTGGTGAGAAATACCATCTTCCTGGTGGAAGCTGGGTCAGCAGAAGCGACGCGTTGGGCTCAGCGTCCAACCAAGGGCAGCTGTACAACCTCGCTCTTTACCAAGGGCACACCCACTGGGGACCCGGCTCATACGGAACACCATGTGGGAGATGCCTGCCACTGTTGGTTCTGTGCTTACTGAGTAGTATGTGTACCCCTCCAGGCCCAGAACTCGGCATGCACGTTACAAGCAGAGCTGGAAAAGCTGAGACTGTCTGAAAATGCAGCAGCTTCAGACACGGAGGAGGCCCAGCATCTCAAGGTGATTTTACTGTGCCAGGACAGCAAAAGTCATGTTTGAGCAGGACTAAGGGCATGGTTTATCATTTTTGAGGAGGGTGGGGCAAGGTCAATGGTTACCCTGCAGAGAGATGGCTGAGAGCTCCACCACGGCTGAAGGACAGCAGGGTGCAAGTCACAGCCACTGCATCCATCTTGGCCAAGATAAGTGCGATGCCCTGAGCGAACGCTCTCACAGCCTGGGCTTTTCACGTACTGGGAAACTGTCCAGTTACCATGAGGTTTTCTCAGCCCATGGCATCTCCAGATTAGATGGCAGAGTGAGTTGTAGCTGGTGGGGTGATGCCTGGTCTCTGCTGAGGGAATTGGGTGCTCCTCTGGCTTGTGGCTACTGAGGCAGCTTGATGCAGACCTGAGGTGACTTGGGGTGTTTTGGAGGGGGGAGGGTCACCAGCTGGAAAAGAGAGACTCAGGCAGATGCTTTCTTTTGACTCCCATGTAGGAAAGACTTGAAAAAGAAAAAAAATTAACAAAGGACCTGGGTCAGGCAGCAGCCAAACTGCAGGAGCTGCTGAAGGTTGCCCAGGACCAACTGGCCAAAGAGAGAGAAACGGTGAAGAGATTGAAAGAACAGCTTCAGGAAACGGTACTTGTTGGTGACCATGGCTATCCCTCCCCTTGATACCAGTGGAGGCCCAGGGAAATGCACATCAGGCAGTGTTTTAAAACTGGAGGCAAGGTGGCCCTTGCTGCCAGAAATTATTTGATTGGATTTTGGGAAGCCCTGGGACCACATGAGATGATGCTCGTGGTTCTCCTTGCCCAGGAGGACCAGGCCTATTTGTGAAATGCTTTGGGGCTTGAGCTGCTATGAGAAAAAGAATGAGATCCAATTGAGTAACCCACCTCTTTTTTTTCCTTCTCCAGGGGAAAGAGGACAGTTCAAAGGAAGGGACTTCAGTTTGATGAGTCTGCAACCTAGACCTTACCATTCAACTTACCAGAATGCCTTACACATTCCTAAAAATAAAAATATATGCTAAATTTACTGTAGATAAGAGATACAAGCCATTAGTGGCCCAAAACCTAGTTTTGAAACTGAAAAAACAAAACAAAAAAACAACAAAAAACCCCACAACACCCCGCCCCCCCAAACAGTAAACACTGCAGTTTGTAAGAAAATCTTCATAGTGTTTGTACAACTCTTTTGTTTCCCAGGGAGCCACTCTGACAATGCCAGGGCAAGGGCTGGGGCTTCACCCTCCTTGTTGCAGCAGAATCCACAAATATGTGCAAAAGGGAACACTGTGTTTGTACATCAACTGGTGCAATTATATTTTTTTTTCTTTTTTTTTTTTGAGTGAAAGAAGTGTGAAAGTAAGACCCACCATGGAAGGATGCCGCTCTTTGAGAGGTGGCTTTTGGCATGTATCCTCTTTTGTATTTCTGGGTGTCGATGCAATTAAAATGATGTAGTGAAAAGAGCTTGTCCTTTCTTGATTTTTCTGGGGTTATGTTTGTGTTGGTTTTTTTAAGTTTGCAAGCTAGGACTCTACCATTCCAGGAGCATATTCTTTATTCCCCCCTTTGTCTCAAAAGCCATACCCTCTGTTTTCGATCCGCTACAAGCAGAGGAAACTGTTTTCAGGGTGGTGGTGCAGGGCGGGGTTCCCTGTGTGGGGGTTTTGCAGAGGGATTGCCACCCTTGCCATGGTGGCAAGGGTGCTTCCCCCTCGCTGTGCAGTCATGCTGAGGTGGGGATGGGCAGGGCAAGGTGAGCCACGTCAGCCCTGCAGGAACCATTCCTCCTGGGAATTGTTTTAAACCTTAGTGCTCCCCTATAATCTGTCCATGGGGGTACTCTGTGATGGCAAGGTGGTGGCCCTTGGTCACTCTCAGCCTTTCTAGCCGTCTGCTCTCCCCTTCTTGTGGCTTTCCATTTTGGTGGGGTTTTTTTTCCTTCTCTTCCTTTTTTTAAATTGTTCTTTCTTTTATTGTCCTTTCTGGTTTTGTTATTTTTTTTTTTCCTTGTTCTTTTTTTATTTTCAAGCTGGTTTCTTAGGAAGTGGCAGAGGCCGTGGGACAGCTTGGTGCCTGTCTCACCACAATGAAGCTGCTGAGCCCAGTACTGACATCAGCAGGAATTTGAGAGAGGAGAAAAAGGCCCCCAAAAAGCTTGGTCCCTCCAGGGTGTGCAAAGAACCAAGGCTAGGAAGGAGGATGAGGGACAGACCTGACTCCATTTTGTCCCTGGGAAAGGCCAGTGTGATACCAATCCCTATATTGCACACCAGAGGCTCTACAGGATTGGGTGGATGTCCTGTCCCTCCCCCAGCCCTGTGGCTTTTGGGGCCATGATGGAGAAATGTGGGGCAGGAGTGTGTGTGATTCATCTTTGACCAGGGAAGTAAAAGGAGTCTTGCTGAATGCTGACTGAGGAAATAGCAGGATGAGAGCCACATCCTGCCCCCCAAACCGTCTCCCACCCTTGTGTGTTTCCCCCCCCCACTCCTCCCAGCATAGGGCTGTTGCATGCAGCAAGTCTCCCCACACTGCAGGGACAAACTCGGGAAGAAGACCTTTGCTCCACAGCCACAATTAACCTTCAGTTTCTCCTTCTGGACTTGGTGGCACACAGAGAGGAATGCATGAATCAAGGACCACTGGTGAACTCAACATGTCAGCATCATCTGTCACTTGCTGCAGACCAGAATGCCCAGCTGTTTGGCTGTCAAGGTCCCCAAAAGTGAGGGAATGCCTGTATTTTTTTCTCCACCCACTCCAAGGCTGGAGAGAGCTGTGGAGCACATCAGAGTGGCTATCAATCACCCCTAGGGGGTCACGGGCAGGAAGGGCCCCAAAGCAGCAGGTGAAGTGATGCAATTCCTTAGGCTTTTCAGTTTCTTGCTTTTGCAACAACTATTTCCTTTATTGTAAGCTCCTGTGCAAATGAGGAGATACCCAGGCATGCCCACAAGAGCAGTAACAAAGACACCAAAACAGCCAATGCAAGGAGGGCAGTCATTGTCACAAATGCCCTTTGGAGTAGGTTGCCTCTGGTGGGGCTCCAAATGCTCCTAAGAGCAGATTCAGTGTGCCCAGCAGGGGGGCATGTGATGTCCTTCTGGGACAATAGCCTGCCGAACAGGCTATTTTAGGAAGAAAGAGAGGGAATGGTCTTGTTAAGCAAACATATAAAACCCAAGTCTCTTCAGGGAAAAATGTTCAGCATACTTTCTTACCTGGAGTTGTTACTTTTTTCTTCCCTCAGCACCTTGGTCAAAGGGGAAGGACATCCTGAGTGCCTAGGAGAAACCCAAGCCTTGCCCAAGAGCACACAGAGCTGAGGACTGGCCAGCCCCCACTCTCCCTGCAGCTTGGTGGGATTTTGCAATGTGCCTGCCCCATTCCAGCGTTATCTCCTTTCCTCCAGGCCACCCAAGCTTGTTACTTGTCAGCCTGTGACTCACAACTGGTATGATCAGCAGCCCCAGCACCACCTTAATAAAGGCAGGAACCTTTATTAATAAAGATCAAGAAATTGCCCAGGTGGAGTGACTTTGGATAGGAACACTGGATCCTTCTGCTGATTCAGCCACGCCCAGAGCTAACTTTCAGCCTGGGTACCTGGGCTTATAAAGGCTTAAGACACTCAAGTTTACCCTTGTTGGAACAGTAAATTGCATTTACACTGCCTGCGGTTCACACTTAGGCCTGAATTATCAGTCTGAATCTCCCTTTCCCATTTTCTCCCAGGTGCAATGGACAGAAATGGCTTTTAGGAAACCACTGCCTGCATGTGGACTTTTAAATATTTCTAGCTGCTCTGCCCGTGCTGCAGCCAAGCTGCACTACCTGGACACATCCTGCTGAATTTGTATGGCTCTGAGATGTTTTCATCACCTGAACCCCTTCATGTTTTTTTTCACATACCCCTGTTAGAAAGTAATTTCTCACCCCAGCAACCAGCCAAGTTATAGAAAGAGTTCCTCATATTCTCTTGCCTCACCTTTTCACATCTGGGTGATTGGGAGAAATCTTAAAAAGTCATGAGTAAACATCTTCCTGTGCTTTCCATCCCCTCCAAAAGCAGCAGGACAACCAACCTCGAGAGGGGGTGAAGTTTGGCCCACAGACTCCAGTGTGGACAAGCCTGAAGCATTATAGCTCTGAAGGCTGAGTTACTGCCAGCCCTGGAGTGCAGTACTCCTCTTCCAGAGAGGCCAGATTGTAATTTCAGGAGTTACTGTGAGGATCCTAAAAGCAGCCAAAGACTCAAATTGGCCTGAACTGTGGCACCACACCTAGCCAAGGCCCAAAGTGCCACCTCAGACCTCTTATCACTTAGTTCTGGGACTAAGGCACTTTATATTCAAGTCCCTGATCTGAGGGCTTTCATGCTGTGGGAAGCACTCTATTGCAGCATCTCCCACTCTGTTTTTTAACCAGGGAAGGAAATCCTAGGCAGAAGTCCACCACAGTATCATCTGAGCTAGATATTCCTTTGAAGATGCCTGCAGTATGGAGGCACTAGCTATCAACTGGATCTTGGCTAGGAGTTGCCTTTGTTTGTCAGGCAGCACTGCTCCCCATGTGTCATACTTATTTCCTTATCTCAACCTGGACTTTGGACAAAGACCAATACTGCAGACACCTAGGCACAGAGGAGCCGTTTATGAGGACAATTACCCACTTGGGCAAGCTCCCAGTTGACTGGAAAGAACCTAAAAGCTCCAGTAGAAACCAAGACACTTTGCTTTGCTCAGAATCAGAAAGTTTCACTCCAGTGGATCCCTTTGCATCAGAAAACCTTTTGCTCCCAATCCTGTGAACTGCATGGGTGCCAAGTTAGAGCAAGCAGTCAATGCCTGCCTAATTTAAGGTTTTAACCATGCAGGATGGTCAGAGAGGGCACATGCTGAGTTAGCAATGGGCCATTATTCCCCTGGCCCCGCAGACACAGCAGCGCAGCGCTAGCACTGTTCTGCAAGGAGTTGCAGGGACAGTCTGTTTTCTGTCCCTGGACAGCTGGGAACAGCTTGCAGAGGAAGGGACAGCCTGTAACTGCCTGAGCCTTGTGGGGCTGGCCAGAGAAAGCTCCCTAAGTCCTCACAGGGAAAGCAGCACAGGGTAACTATCACGTGGCTGGGTTTCTGCTGCTCAGGCTGCAAACAGGGAGATTTTTCCCGGGAAGCTGCCCAACCCATGGACATTTGCACCCAAAGCCTAGAACGCAGAGAGCAGGTGCTGTTCAGGAGCCAGAGCCTGCAGCAGGCAAGGAGTCACGCTGAGAGGGAGTGCAGGGACAAGGAGGAAAGCACACTGCAGAGATGAACGTGCTTTCCCCCCCAACTCCACCAGCTCTTCTTTCCAGCCTGTTTCACCCCATTCCTGTTCCCCTGACAGCAGTACAGGGCAGTGGCTGCAGAAGGCACAGTAGCTCCCTGAGCACACAGCTTACACAGGGCACTGGTGTCCCCAGCCATGGTGCCAGCCCTGCTGCAAGAAGGCTAATCCTAAGGCTGGAGAGGAATCAGTCACTGACCCAGGGGAGGGGAAGCCCATTTATTTAAGGCTATTTGAATTTGGCACACACAGAACATATCACAGTAATGCACTGGAGGCTAATGGTTTTTTTTTTTTTTTTTTTTTTTTTTTTTTTTCTTTTTCTCTACAGACATACAAGAAAACTCTATGCAACTCCCATGTACACATTACACAAAGGAAACAGCTTTAATCAACCACTGGTGAAACATGGAAGCTTTTAAAATCTCTGTAGCTGGCACAGGAATGTTCTCTACCCCCCATACAAAAGGCATTTCAGGTCAAACTTTCTAGTAGGTGATATTTCCATGCATTTCTACAGAACTAAAGAAGCTAGCAGACAAAAAGCCCAGATCAAGCCGTATTAGTTAGGCTGATTCGTTCTACTAAGTTAAATCAATAATAATTATGGACAAATGGACCAAGTGACCAAAGACTGGGGCTGAAAATACCACTTTTCAAGTTGTGGTTCATTCTCATTCTACTACCCATAACTGAAAAGCTCTGATATAAGAATCTGCATTTATAAAAGCCTCAGAAGCATCTGATCCACTAGTAAGTGTGTATTAGAGAAAGTAAGGTAGTTCTAAATTAAAAGCAATTTTTATAGAATCACTCAGGCTGAAAGAGACCTCAAGACACTCCATAACAAGGAAATCGAACCTATAGAACAAGTGAACCTTTAAATATTATTACTGCACCAGGAGTTTACAAGGGAGGGGATTAGGACTATTTCTCCAGAAAAGTGTGTCTGTTTTATCTCTAGCTTCAGAATTAGGCTTTTTTAGTACAGCTCTGTAACTGCAAGCACTAAGAATTTAACCCAGTTTTGCTGCCAACAGGTTGCTTTAGTCTAAGTTTAACTACAGTTTTCAAGTTTTGTCTTAAATGATTATAGGGAAAAAGCTTCTGAGTTTGGCAATTTGGCCAGTAGCCTCAAAATAATTGACTGAATTTTGCTCGTTACAATTTAGAAAAGCAAGAACAAGAACCAGATTGTTCTCACCTCCCCCCCTTTCATGATACACTGCTCAAATTTTTTGAGACCTTTAGTGTTAATCCATTGGGGATAGTATTGGGCTGGACAACCAATGCAAATATTAATACACCAAGATAAATCCTTAGATTTTGATTTATTTAGGGTCATTTGTACATACAAGCTACATCTCCAAAATCTACTTTATTCTACAAGACAGCTTCCCTATTGTTAGTGAAACCCTTGCCTAGAATGTTTGCTTTATATAACTGATATATTAAAACATGGAATGCTTGTAGAGTTGTGGCACTGTATGACATCTACACAGGACTTCCTTCAAAAGCTACGACTAGGGAGCCTCCTAGCTTCTCAGCAATGCAAGCTCGGTTGAGGTCCTCTGGCCCATTTGCTTGGCATTCATGCTTTATGCCTAAAAGAGAGGCAAAACACTCAATAATGCAGTATGCCAACATGCTGATAATCAATCAAACAAACACACTTGGTAGTAATATTAGAAGAAGAAATCCAGTCACTCAAGCACACAAGTCCTGCCTTAGCTTTGGAAATCTATTTTTTTCCTGGCATGCCATTGGAGACATCTGGCTACACACATGTCAATGCAGGGACATGTGGGGAGAAATTTGTCACTGGATTAGAGCTCAGACTGTTGGTCTTTCATCTCAGGCTCTTACAAGTGTCTTGTGCTGCCCTGGATACAGCTGGGGAGGGAGCTACATGCAAGCACATGGAGATGGCTGACTCAGCTCCCGTTGGCTCCGCAGAGGAGCATCTAGAAAGCCGGACTAAGGAATCAACAGTGTTTTTTTGTTTTTGAAGGGTGGGGATCCCAACCCATGCCTGTCTTCTGTGGTGAAAGGCAGAATTTCTTCAGGATTTCTTTTTTTTTCCAACTTCTACATGTGCAGCACACAACAGTCTCCCTGGGTACTTCCAATCCCTGGGGCAAACTGTCCTGTGAGGGCTGGCACTGCTGCCCAGTGATCTTGTCAGTCTTGCACACTGCAAGATTTTGGCCCAGTGCAGCACAAGGAACTTGCACCAAATCCAGCTCTGAGTTATAAATCTAATGGTTTCTAGCCTGTATGGTGCAGATGTGCTGCTCTGTACCATGCAGCTACTGTCACACATTGCAGAACCTGCTCTTGCTCAGAGCACAGTTCTAGTACCTCTAAAATTTACAGTCAAATGGTATAAATTTTAGCTAGACCTCATTTTAGCTCTATCATGTGACATTTCACCTCTCACTAGTTTCTCAAAAAATCAAAAATAAAACAACACCCAAACCCAAACCAATTAGCCAATGGTTAAGCCTTGCTGTGTAAGTATTCTAGAGGTACGGCAGAGCTAGGAGCATTAGCTGTATTACATACCTTGGAACTTCTTTTTGATTGCATCCTTGGAGCTGGCGTAGATCATCTTACTTTTGAGAGGTGCTTGTTCTGGTGCCCTAGCGGGATATACCAAAGAGAGTGCAATTACTGACACGGATTATTCAGCACAGCCAGAAGCAGCATCCTTCCCACCATGAACAAGTGAAACATCTCACAGCTCAGAACACAGGCATCAGGCTGCCCTCTTGCCAGCCCGGGCAATACAAATGCTCAGAGACCTCACCCGCAGTGCTTGGACTGCATGTTAGGAATGAGTCAGTTGGGAAGATGGCTTACCATAAGAAAAACATCAGCTCTTCTTTTTTGGATTCCTTGGTCTCGAAGCTTGCGTCATACAAGGCATAACGGCAATCCTTCTCAGGAAGCATCTGCACAAAGTGCTTGAAAGGGTCGGTGACTGTCACACCGACATCTCCCACCAGAATTTCTTTGCCTTCTTCCACAATAATGCACTTTTTGTCTGGACTGAGGCAGAAGATGACAGCCTTCTTCCTCTTCTTAATTTCCTCAGGTGTAGAGCACTTCCGCACTTTCATGTCATAAAAGATACGGCATACTTCATCAGCAACTTGTACTCCAGATGCCTGCAAAGACATGAGCAAAGACCTTTAGGGCCACCACAGCAAATTTTTACAACTCCATTACTGCACTGCCTTAAATATAAGGCTAGAAGACAGCAGATACTAACAACAGTTACTAGTGACCCAAGAGTCTCCTCAGAAAAGGCTGTAGACCCTCTTTTCCAAAGGCAAATAAAGAATCTGGAGTCTCACTGCTGACCACAGCCAGCTGCGAAACCAAAACTATTCCAAAGAAGGCACAATCCGACTTACATTAGAACATGGTTTTGGCGGAGTTTTACACACATGACCACCCCTTATTCTCCAAGATTACAGAAGCTTAATTTTGTTATCCATTTCAGGCTGGCTAGACAATCAAGCCCACAAGGATCTGCTGTTCAAAATTTCCTAGCCATTTCTAGCATGCTTGCTAGCAGCTTTAGGAACAGAGGTAAAACTGGCTAAATTCCACACCTGTCACATGGACTTAGTTTAGAGATCAAGAGAGATGTAGCGAGAGGTAGAGGGACTGCAGTGATACAGTTTTTAGCCGAACAAACCAACTTTCAGAAGTTGCTCTGAATTCTTTAAAGGACTTTAAAGGGAGAACTTGCAAGCTCCTCCATCAGTTTTTAAAGCCAGCTGCCTGCCTTCAACTTTTGCCCCCCTCTCCACTCCCTCAAAGGAAGGGAGTGTAGTTAGTGGTATGGTATCCATACCACTATGCATGGGAAATTGTAGTTAGTGGTATGGTATCCCCTGTGTTTGCTGTAATAGGAGGTGCACATGCAGCTTTATCAACCTAATCTTAAAGGCAGCTGCACAAAATAAAGAAGACAAGACCTGGCAGGAACGACAAAAGGCTGAGCTGCATTTTCAGCCTGCTTTTTGGGAATAAGACAGAAAAAAATTGTGGCAGGGTAGAAGCATTTTCATCTGAGTGTTGTTCTCAGAGTACAGCAAAAGTTGGAGAGCTTAAAAGCATCTGTGAAATAGCGAATACTGCAAGTATGGAAAGCCAGCTGATGCTGATGGAACAACATCATGGCCAGAGCAGTAAAGATTAAACTGAAGCCCGTCCAATACTCAACAACCTGTTCAAAATTCGGTATGCAGTGTGAACAGTGAGGTTCCTTTAAAATACTGCTTCCTCCCTCACTGGTCTTTGGTCTTCAAATTCCAATGACATTATCCTCAGATATGACAGTTCATATCTCAGACAGAAAATTGCCTTCCTCCCTCTGTGTAAACTGCTACATGTCACTGCTATGAGCACAGTCAGCAGTATTAAGAGTCAGGTACAGCACCATCTGAGATCCGCCAACTGAAAAACGCTAAAAGGTTGTTGTTCATTTTGTTTTTCCTTACCTTCAGCCCCAAAATGTGAGCTCAACAGATTTATTTTGCATCTTAAAGAAACAACAGAGTTTAGTTGCAAAACCAGGGAGAGAGAGGTGCAGGGGAACTGCTCAGTGGTAGCTTTCAAACAGGCTGTCCTTGAAAGATAGTTATAGATTGGGCAATGACTTAATGTGTGGGGGGTTTTTTAAGCCTTGACCAACGACTACCATGGAAGACCTCAGATGAGCCCAGATCATGTCTCCTTCTGTAACTCTGAGTGGCTGACATAGCATTGCTAACCCAGTGAGGAGAGGTGGCACAGGGAGCAGAATCTATTACCATGGGGTTTGGTATCTATATCTCCCAACTGCTTGTCACAGAAAATCTCACCCAGCAGTGAAACTGAGACAGAAGTTTTTCTCTAGTGTGCCAACAGTGCTCCTTCAGGGTTTACCCAAATCCAAGGGGACATCCCTCAAGATTTATAATGCATGGCCTGTCTACTAGGGGTAACCTATCCAGAATTCCTTGCACTTACTTTGGGATAGGAGAACAGCAAGTCACTCACCATGCCAGAGCTCCCTGGCAGGCAGCCATCCTTTTGCATATCACCAATAAGGCGAGGAAAGTAAGCAGAGAAAGCCTATTCCAGGATAAACTCGAGCAAAAGTGCAAACATCGACTCAAAGTGACTCATTCCTCTGTCACCTCATTCATACAGAGATACTGCACTTTGCCAGAGGGTGACTGAGAGCTAATGAAGAATGAAGGTCTTTCCCCTCCTTGTCCCTGTGTTTGGTGTAAGCAAGAGCCTCTCTGGGAAGACTCTAAAAAATACAAAACTGCCTTAATAAAGCAAACAGTGCAGCAAGTAGAGCTACTGTATCATTCACTAGGGACCTATCCACAGGGAACTCGAGAACCTTTTTCGTCCCTGAGGTTTGTAATGGCATATCAATAGCTGACAAAAGGTGTTAAGACTTGACTTTTAGTCACAGAAAATGCACAGAAAGCCTGAACTAAAATGGGAAGGAGGCAATTAATCACTTAAAAGCCCTGTCACTTACCTCTACCTTTGTTCATTCTTGATCTTTGCTCCAACATCACAACAAGTAATTCCCCTGCACCAATTCATGTTAACTTTGAAAGAAAAGGTTAATGCTCAGCAGAGAGCCAGAAGCAGCAGCAACAGAGCCGCAGGTTGATACAAACTGTGCAGTCAAGTGCATATGCTTGTACTACTACACAGCAAGAAACATGTCTCCAAGTAGGGAGACAAGTTGATTCCTTAAAAAGAAACTGAGCACTGCTGGCCAGCCAGTTCAGATTCCAAAAATATTCAGTATTTAGCCTGGAACCCCAAAATTCAGTGTTAAATTGCAGTTTATAACTGGGACAGAACAGAAGCTGAAGGGACAATAGTGAGAACTGGATTTGTTAGCTTTCCAAAGTAAAAGGCTGTCAGTAGCTGGTGCTACTATTTTTTTCGCAGCTGCTGTACAACCCCTGGATTCATCACACAGGCTGACATTATGTTGCTAGGGACAATGCAGATTTGTTCCATCTCAGAAAACCCTATAGCTGTGTCACAGCAGTAGTATGTCACCCACAAATTCCCAGTGCAGTGAACTAATTACTTCCAAAAAGAGGATCTACTATTGCAACCCTCTTCAACTTTGGACTCATACCAGCCACGACTGGCTTCACAAACATATTTAAAAAGTAAAAAACCCTAAATACTAGACAGCTTTTGCTGTAAGATGGCTGAAATCATTCTGCATGGAACATCAACAGGATGACTGTTAAGAGCGCTGGAACAAGGAGAAATGCTATATTCTAAGTACATGTCCTCAACTGACATTTTACCTTCACCTCTGCTCTCTTCTCCAGAAGAAGAGCTGGTGAGAAGCCTCCACCCCACCAGTAACGACAGAGTAAAGGTTTATTTGTTAGTCCGGATTTTCTCTCTTTGGCCAGACACCACTCTGCTTACAGGATACAATACAGCACATTCATTATTATTTTGTGCATTCTGGCTTGAATGCTGTAGAGCTACAGCAGTTAGTCTGGTTTTGTTCCTTTTCCAGTATAAAAGCAGTTATCCAGCTCTGGACTAGTACTCAGGTGCCTCTTAATGCAGTATATGTTGCAGGTACTTGTGAAATACATGACTATGAATCAGCTGGTGACATTTTGTTGTAGGGGACTGAACCTTAACTGCAGGGCCTTTTAACCTCACTGAAACAAGGCAGTAGCAAGGAGGCAAGCCACCTAATTACCAGATGGAAATATGATGCTAGTACAGCATATTCAGGCAAGAGTGTACAGAGTGAGTTTCTCTGAGGAAATCGGCAAAAATGAGTTTTCCCCCAACGCCTCTGTGCAACTATTGCAAATGTGGTCTGTCTTGCGGGCTGAGCTCCTCATACATCGTTCCAGGGCACCTGAACCAGTATCCCCATTGTACTTTCACATGGGCTGCTGTAGGCACATGAGGTAATGATTGCATTAAATGCCTTGTCAGCATGCCCTGGAGTAACACAGCGGCTCTTATTCCCTACACAAAGCCACTGTTCCTGCCTTAAGTGCAAAGCACTGCAGAAGTCTTGCAAGAGTAGAATGCCCTCCTTACACAGGGCAGCCCAAATAGTGAGCCTTCTGTCTAGCACGCTTCCTACTGCAAGAGCCATACGCAGCTGCCTCCACTAAGAGCTTCCAACACTTTGCCTCCATTGCCAAGCACCTGAACTGAAATTTAATCTTAACTGGGGAAGACTGAAGAATAATCTAAAGCTTTCTCAAGAAAATCCCCACATAGAGAAAGCTGTTTCAGGAGCGAGATACATGCCAGACACCTTATAAACTGGATTTGCAGCAAGTCTGCACGGAAACACAACTGTGACACACTTAAATTTGCCTTCTCTTTTGTTAGGAAATGCTGTGCGCTCCAGTATTTTCCTTGAATATTTAAAATATTTTACCTAAGGAGAGTCTTTGTTTCCTCCTCAACTGTAAGACAGCCAAGAAGACTTTAAACTAATGACTTGGTTTGTCTCAAGACAAGTTTGAAGGATGAGATTTGGTTTTAAGTCTTGACAATTTTAGAGTGTTGGATTTCTCCCCTGTGATGAGAATCCAAGAGCTCTCCATAGAGGTGCCTGTGCATCCATTATCTACAGAGACATTTAAAGAACCGGTTCTTGACTTGTTTTGTCTGGGAACCACACACACGCATTGTATACGCCACCTGTGATACTACTCACAGGTACTCAAGTGGAAACTGTTGTTTCTTGGAAAAGCATCATCAATTTTTCCAGAATTTGACACCAAGACCTTTATTAAAGTATGCCTTGTTTAATTGCAAGGGTAGATTTGAGGACACTGTGCTCCAATGTTTGCTAGTCACATTATTGCATGTATTTGGTTCTGAGTTTCTTCAGCAAAGTCTGCTTCCCCTATGCTTGGCATATCATCCTTCCTATCTACCTTCGAAATTCCCTGCCACTGCCAGAACTGCTTGTGTAACCATGTGGCATTTCCATATGACTCAGTCATGTGTCATAGTACATCCCTGCAACAAATACTTTTTCCATTTAAACTATTACCACCCAACTGGTCTGGGACAGCACCCTTCACAGAGCTGTCCCTTACACTGCCACACAACAGAATGCCCTGGGACATCATCAGCACCAAGACCTTGAAGGGCACACTAAGCTAACGTAGTTGTGGGAGCACCCAGCAGAAAGGGAGGGTCACAGCCTGGCTGCACTAATAGGCTGGAAGACAATTTTGCCAAATCAGGCCTCTGAAAAGGGCGTCAGCTAAGGCCAACAAGCCAACTGAAAATGTAGGTGGTCAGAACCACGGATTTTAAATACTGCTTTGCTTTTAGTCTGTTATTTGAGCACTCAAGAAAACACATTGGATACTACCATCCCCACTTTACTGAGTAGGAAAGGTGCAACTGCTTTAACTTGATCCCAGAGACCAGCAAGGGTGATGGAATACCAGTGACTTCCTGAGTTCTGCAAGGCTCACAAACCCTGGTGTCTATAGCAGAACAGAGAGACAGCTCTGTTTACAGGGGACAGCCTGAAAAGTTCAAGGCTTCAATTCAGATGTGAAGCACGATGGGAAACATAACTAACTGCCTTTTACTGCTGTTGTGCAACAGGTTATATTTGCACACCATAAACCAGCAAGAACTACGGACTTATTTTCATATCACTTGTAGACAGATCTTGCCAGCTAGACTCCAGTTTTTTACTTAGCATTATTTGGTCTCTTTTGGCAGGAGGGGTGGAATCAGAACTCTATTCAGCTTTTCTCCCCCCGCACCCCCTTCGACAATAAGAACGGTTATCGACAAGGAGATATGAGAAAGAAATAAATTAATTAAAAAATAAGAAAAAACTATCCCTTGAATTCCTGGAGGTCATTTCCTCAGCTTTCAGCTAAAGAAGAAAAGCTTCTCTGAGCTCCCATGAAGTTCACTCCCACCAAGGTAGGTAGAACAAGCAATACCCACAAAAGGCAATCCCAACAATACTGCTGAAAAACAGTCAGTAGAAGGGTAGAAGTTTTGAGTACCACCCATTCCTCTGTTGAAACGTAAGGTTTTAAAGTTAATGCAGGTGTGAGCTGCTATGCAACAGGACTCTAGCAAACCTTCTTAGAAACATATTCAGCACAGAAACCAGCTACAATGAGCCCAAACGCCCACAAGAATTTTCTTGTAGCCCTCCAGGAACTTACAGCAACCTAAAACTTAAAAGCCACCCTCAAAACCAAGCTTTGAAGGCCTGCTTTGGGCACCACAGATACTTGTTAGTGAGGGATGCTTCCTGAATACTGCATGAATGCTGTACAGGCAGGCGAGTGAAAGCTTTAACAGCTCCACACACAAGTCCTAGCTGCCTGCAGGCTCTCCCGCATGGGATCACTTGGGCCAGCCCTTGCACCCAGCAGGAGCCCCTTGATAGCAACAAGGCAAGCAGGAACACGCCAGACACCCAGACTACTAATTGTCATGAGGCTGTCATCTTGTACATGAGGCATATGTACTTGTAATTACACAGATTTGGGAAGAGTATTGACTAACAACCAAAAAAAAATAATTTGCACAGTCCTTCAAAGACCACGGACTCATTTAATCCAGTAACAAAGAAATTGAACCTTGTGGCAAGACATAAAAGCTGAAGATCCAATGCTCTTTTGATACCAAATGATGCCCTCCTGCTGGCATTACTGTATTTTGCCAAAAGGCCTGCACTCTGCCCAAAAGCAAGTTCATTTCCTGCATCTCAAAAAAGCCAACCCAGACCCCCATTGCAAGATGATCACTGTGAGAAATACTGGTTTTGACTGACTGGGGAATTCTCTGGTTCCAAAACAAGATGAAGCCTGACACACCGAGTAGTCAGTCTAAACTAGGTTTGCATACTGCAGAGGTGGTAGCTGGCTTGCTGAGACAAGCCTGTTTTAAACAAGTGCTGCAAGTTTCGTCAGACTTTTTAACAACTTCAGCTGCAGCTCCCATCAGTTCTGCTTCATGCTGCAGACCAGTCACATACGCTCCAACTTGGGCGTTAGAGGAAGCAGGGAGATCAGGAGTACATCCTGTATGCCAGCCCTATAGGGACTAAAAGTTCATTTACTGGATATACCACACATTCAGTAACCTAATGAGAAACACCATGGGAAGGCCTCAATATGTAACACATCTAGTAAAGGCAAAAACCCCAGGTAAGTGTGTCAAAACACACAAACGTGTGTCGGTGGAATCAACTAAAAACAGGACAAGAGTTAAAACTGCATGAGCTAGTAATTCAGGCGAACATGCCAGTCACAGCTACCACAGTTAAATGGGGATGCAAACTTTGAGCATAGGCTAAGCAATCCGAGAATGAGCCACCAGGAAGTCAAAAAGGTATTTGGTCTATTCCGCTCCATTTATGCAAGCAGTCCTTTGGTACCTTTTTTTTTTTTTTTTGAAAGCCAGGAAACACAGGAAAGTTAGTGTGTATGCTTGGTGTGTTTTTATGTTTCAGCATTATGTAGGTAAAATGTTTCCAGCACTGCGTGGAGGAGCAAAACAAAACAAACAAAAACCACAAAAAAACAAGTCCTTGCAGCAACTACCTTAAAATTTAAGCTTCCTAGAGAGGCCGCTGCGAAACCCTGTTTGTTACGATCAGCACTTCCCTTCCGCGGGTTCCGCTTCCGCCCATTTTGCCCACTACCAGCGCTGTCGGCTCCAACCCCCGGGGTTGGCCAGCGGGTCCCGGCCGTCCCAGGGAAGGCCCGTGCTCGTCCCGGCACTCCCGCGGAGCAGCCGCCGTCTTCTAGGCCAGGCCCGACCCCTCCGGCCGCAGGAAGATGGCTTCCGCCAGCACCGCGCCAGGCTACCGCGGCCGCGCCTATTCCCGAGCAGGGCAGCCCCCGACGACGGGGAAAAAGGGCTCCCACCCGCGGTGCCTTTCCGCCAGGTGGCGGTTCCCTCCCACGCAAGCCCCTCGGGGGGCGGGGCGGGGCCGCTGATGCCCCTCTGCCCACCCGCGGCCGTGCCCTGCGGCGCGGGGAGGGGCCGAGTATCGCCCCCCCACCGGCTCTTCCCGCCTCGCCCGGCACCCCCCGTCACAGGGTGGAATGGACGCGCCCGCCCCAGCCCTTGTGTGAGGCACGGAACGTACCATCACCTACCGACGGGGGGAGGAAAAAGGAGGAAGGACAGTTCCATCGCCTCAGAGGGGGGAGGGTAACCTTCCGCCGCCTCATGGCGGGATGAGGGGTGGCATTGGGGGGGAAGGGAGCAGAACGGATCCGCCGCCTCAAGTTCAAAGGCGAACGGAAACCCGGATTGGGGGGGGTGAGGGTGTGGGGAGGAGAGAAGGAGAAGGAAAAGGGGGCGCGATACCGTGGTGCCGCAGGGCACAGCAGCGGCGGCGCCAGCCGAGATGCGGCGGGCGGTACCGCCGCCCCCCTCCCCGCTTTTCCCTCAAGGATGAAGGCGAGAGGGGGAAGAAACCTAACGCCCCCCCTCCCCGGCGGCGCCCAGATGCCTACCATGGCGTGGGCTGAGCGTGGGGCGGCGGGCACGGGGCGGCGGCGGCAGCTCCTCGCGAGTGTCTGTCTGGGCGCGGCGCGGGCTCCGGCGGCTCAAAGGGAAGCAGCGAGGGCGCGAGCCGGGCGGAAGCGCTGCCGACGTCACGGCCGCCGTGCCCGCAAGAGGAGGAAGCCGTTGCTATGGCGGAAGCCCCGCGTGGCGACGCCCTAGCCCCCGCGCGCACGCGCGAGCGGGCCGGGGAGAGAGCGGGGACCCGCAGCCCCCTCGCGCTCGGCTCCCCCTCCGCCACCCGACCGAGATGCCCAATCACAGGGCAGCCGCCGGCTGATTGACGCCCCGGCCGACTAATGGCGACGCCCCTCAGAGTGGTGGGGCGGGGCTACCTGCCCCAAGGTGTGCGGGGCGGGGGGGAGGTCGCTGAGGGGAGAGTGGGCGGCTTGGGGAGCCTTGTGGGAAAGGACGGGGATTGGGGGGGTGTGGTTATCAGCGGGGCGTAAGGAGGTTTTGGGCTGCTGGGAGCGGGGCTAACAGGGATTGAGACGGGCGTGAGGGGTCGGGGGGCATCCCTGGGATGGCCACGGGGCATCCTTGGGATGGCCGCGGGGCGGGCGGGGAGCCCGCAGGGCGAGCGAGGCGAGGCGAGGCGAGGCGGCCGCAGTAGGAACGGCCAGGGCCGGGCGGGCGGGAGGAAGAGCCGACGAGGCGGAAGTGTGGACTTTGGGACTTTCCTTTCTCTCTCTCTCTCTCTTTTTTTTTCTTTTTCTTTTTTTTTTTTTTTTCCCTTCGAGAGTTTTTCACTACCTACTTTGGTGCGATCTCAGTCTGGCACTCCTGATTGGCTCGCGCTGCTGCGGCAAGAGCCTTGCGCTTCCCACCGGCACCCGCGGATCCCAGATCCCGGCGCCTGCTTCGTCCGGATGGCCGAAACGTCTGGCTTTGTCCTCGGCACAAAGCTGATCCCGAGCAAACGCTGCTGCGGAGACCGGGGCGCTCGGAGAAGCCGCTGTTCTGTGTTTATGGTAGTCCTGCTCACTCCGACCGCTACGACAATACTCGTTCCTTAATGTTTTCAGGCAGTGAAGCTCGGGCTGCTTGTAAACAGAGTAAACAGGCACCGACTGATGTTACGAAAATGTATAGAAAGTTAGGTTTTTATTACTGAATCCTGACTGCAGCGATGTTCCTGGTTTGAATCGATGAGTAAACCCCCCCAGCATCAAGCTTATTTAAGTATGTGCCTACTTGTAAGCAGAAAACAAAACCAAGACTTGGCATGTTTTCAAGGCTAGGGTATGAGGCAACTAACATGAAGCTTCAATTCTAAAGGTGTGAGCCATGCTTACATACCGTACAGTTTTCATCCATATTGCTGTTCTAATTAAAGGGGTTTAATATTGATTTCATTTTTCCCCTCCTTGTAGCCTACCCCAGTGAATGCCCTTTGTAGATGCTGTTAGGCCTGTTCACATTAGATAGAAGTTGCGGAAAGACACCATACAGAAGATTCATGTATTGAAAAAGCAGTCCTATTGCATCAGGCTCTTGTGTGGGGTGACTTACTCTGACCAAGGGTTCCTTTTGTAAGAGAATTTGCAATAGATTTGTAGTGAAACTAGCAAAAGACCTACCAGCATGACCTGAGCTTGAATTGGACTGAGGGGATAGTTTTTCCCTATGGTCTTTTCTGATATATTTAATCATGGAATGCTTAAATTCAAAACCAAATGTTGACTTACGTTGGAAGTATTAGCAAGAATTGAGCAGGGATGTTTTTTATTTTTTTTCTCTTTAAACAAATCAGGTATAATGCCTGTGTAATAGGTAGAGCTTCAGTTCTAAGCATATGTTTCTCTGGACAACTTCTAGTCCTGCCTTCTTGCTGTGACTGTTCTGGTGGGGAGAGGAAATCAAGGCAGGCTCTGTTTGGCAGTGGGGGTCAATGCCATATGGCAGTGCCATGGCTGACCTCTATCTCCAGTGGCATGTAGCAGAGAGCTGGGGCAGCTGTGCTTTTTAGTCTTAATTTATGTGAGTAATTTGCCTGTTTGCTGTTCCAAGCTTGCTCTTCATAGATGGGTTTCGCTATGACAGAGGGTTACAGAAGTGAGACATCCTGGGGAGGAGGGGAAGAGGATGATGTAAAGTCATGAGAACAGGGCTGGGACTGTTTCATGTTGTATACTTATAAGGGAAAATGAGTTGGAACTGGCCTGTTGGCTCACTCTGTTTCAAGAGGTCTTTTTGGAAACACTGCAGCGGGTGGAGAAGGTATCTAACTGGTTAAAGAAACTTCAGTGAGGACAGGAACTCCTTCACAGCAGAATAAGATATCTCATGGTTTGGGAACCACTGCTGCACATAAATCCTGTGCTGCTGTTTGTGTAGAGGAAAGGGAGTCTGTTTTTCCAGCCCTGTGCTGCTCCTCACTCAGCCCTCTCCTCACACATCTGAGACCTTAAGCATCACCCCAACTGTTTGCAGCCCTGCAATTCCCTTAGTGAGAGCTTGCAGTAGGGTCCTCTCACGGCTGCTACGTAGCTGTTGTCTTGATGCCTGAAAATGAAGGGAAGCTCCTTGTTTTGAGAAGGGCAGGAGGAAATTTTGGTTCTATTTACAAGGTCCCTATCCATCAGTCCCACACTTTTGATGGGATAGAGACCTGAGCAGAGGTGAGGAAGTTGTGCCTTGTGGCTTATTGCCACACTGACAGTAACCCTCCCGCTTCTTACTGCACTGCACGCCCTGTTTTGGCCAGCTATTGTGGTGTATGAGTGAGCAAGGCTAGAGGTTTCTTGGGGTGAGACTTAGCTCTTTGTCCCCACCTTTCAGTGCAATACAAGGTTGTTACAAAGACAGATGTGAATTCTGTGACTTGTACAGCATTGTGGAGAGGAAGGGGTTCTTTACTAGCTCTTCTACCTTTCAACACTGAACAACCTTTGTCCTTTTAGCCTCCTGTTAGTGCTATAAATAAGCTAAGCTAAAAGCTCAAGCTGTATGTTTGGATGAACCAATATTGAAAGATGAATTCTCCTCCCTTTTTTAAGGTAAATGGTGTTTGCAATTAGCCTGAAACTTCCTCCTCCCCACCTCAGAAAAATCCATCCCCCAGCCATAGGGGACCCCAAGAAATTTCAGTAATTCTGTAGCTGATGGTGACTGCTGTGGCTCCAGGCAGAAACAACTGGTGTGAACTGCAGTTGACAAGTGTCTGTCCAGTGAATGATCGCTTCAAAATCCAGCATGGTCATTATAAAAAGACACCCACAGACTCCATTTTTGCACAAGACCCTGAATCAACAGAAACCTGAGATCAATACATCTGCCTCACTGACTAGCATTTGCTAGAATCACATTTGAGACTGTGACTACTTGCTTACTTTATATGCTATTTGAACTCCCCCTCCTGTCCTCCAAGCTACTGACTCATTTCCTCCTCTAAAAACCTTCCTTTTTTAGCCTTTCGCTCTGAAGTATTTGGTAGCTGTTTTGAGCTGCATGCTCCATACCTTACTTAGGCAAACTCCTACATGACAGCCCTGAAAGCCTTGCTTTTGTACCATGGAAATCGTTTGTTTTTCCCTATTAGTTTCAGTTCTGAGGGGCAGTCTTAGCTACTGACTGTATTCCTCAGCAAATTGCTTTCTTACTGTTTGAAATCAGGGAGGCAGACAATCAGCAAAGCAGCTGGTGAGCTGAAACTACCACTACTTATGCTAATTAACTGTTGTCTCCCTCTTAGCCCCCACTTTCCCCATCAGCCCTGCATCCACCTGCTGTTTTTCAAACATTTGTCCTGATCTCACAGTTTGGGCAGGGATCACAGAGGCTGCTCTTAGTCTGGACAACCACCCCAGGCCTGCAGAGCACCCAGTGGAAGGATCAGGCCCTGACTCTACGTGCTGTGTCATGTAAGCGAAGGAAGCAGGTGGTGTCCCCTTGTGTAAGGCCTGGCATGGTGGTAGCCCAGAGCTTTGGTCATGGCTGATGGATGCTACTGTAACTGCACTAGATGAGTGTGCCTGAAATGTAGTTCCTTTTTCACAGGGCTTATGGAATATTGGTTCTGTGCTTTTGGCATTGCAAGGATCAGCAAAGATAATTATAGACAGGAACAGAAAGTCTCTGTAAACCTTACATTCGTAGCTATTTCACTGGCAGAAACAAAGCCACAAGGAGCCTATCACTGTGCATTGCTGAAATATTCAGTTTATTAGGTGCATTGGAGTAAAAATTTAAAGGGAAATTTTGAGAGAGAAGGAGAACCTAAAGGTGATTTCCAGAAACTGCTGTGATGCTCTATTCCTTTTCTCAGGAGGCGGTGAGGTGCAGCAAACAGCGTGCAGAAACCAAGAGCCCAGTGTCTCGTCTAATGCTCTGTCCTTGCCCCTGGAGTGAAACTGGGCAAGCTGCTTTTCCCCTTTACATTAGATATTTGGTTTTGAAGCGTTAACTTTGTTCCTGCCTTTTCTATATTGCAATTTGAGATTTGGGGCAGATCAGAGCTAGATGTTGTTTATAAATACTTGCTATTTTTACAGTAATGAAAAGGCTGTCCTAAATTGCTACAGATGAATGCCAGAACTTGTATTCCTTTTAATTTGCTATCAACTTCCACAATTGCTGCAGGTTGTAATCCTTTTAATTTCCATATGGTAAAACCTGCAGGCTATGAACAACCAGACCTGCTTGCTGCTGGGTTAATTTTCATCAGAAACCTTTCTGGATTGAGTGTGATGGGGAAGGTAGCCCAATGCTTCATCATCCCTGGGGCGTTTTTTCCACTGAAAGGACAAAGGAGTAAATAGCACAAGAAGGCAGCTGAGGAATGGAACAGCTCTGTGTTAATTTAAGTATACAAGAATGTCATCAAGCTACTGACCTACCTGGCTTATCTATTTACTTATCTTTTTTCCCCCCCTTTGATTTTGTTGCCACTAAAGGACCTGGATGGTGAGAATGAAAAGCATTCTGCCCCAGAATCAGCTAAAGGACTAGTTGCTGCTCAACTCTCCCCTAAATTGTCAAAACAGGCAATGTGCAAAACTTAAAATTATATTTTCCCTGCTTACATGTGAATTGGATCTTAAATCCTGTCAGTATGAGAAGGGAGGCACATATTGAGCACAGAGGCCTTGAACTCCTCTTAACCAGTAGGTAAAGCTTTAGGCAGCATCTCTGGCCACATTACCTAAAAGCTTTGCAGCATTCACTGTGATTATGCTCCTGAGCTTTTGCTGTGAGACAGGGCTGCAAATGCAGCCCCTTTTATAGATGAGGAGGGCTGAGCTGAGAGAAGCTGCACGACTCTCCCAGCCTCAGGCAGGAAGTCTGTGGTAAGTCCTATGAAGCCTTTGCTACCCTAACCTTCAGGCCGTCTCTTTTCTGCGCATGTAAGATGATAATGCTGCTACATCAAATGTACAATGGCTGCAGAAATTTCTAGAAGAATAAGCATTTTTGGCTTATGTGGGCTTTGTTCCAGGTGAGGAGGTGGTTGCTGATGCCATTAGCAATTGCTATCTGCAATGCTATTAATAATTATTTTATTTCCTGACTAAATTAGCCCCCACTCCTCTCACACCGTGACCTAGACAGAAGGTTGCCTTAGCAGTTTGATTTTCTTAGACAGAATTTACACTTAGGTGCATCAGAATAATAAAGAAGCCTTTTGGAGGTGTGTTGCTCCTGCATGATGGCGGTTCTGGCTTGGGAACTGCTAGCCTGTTTATTTTTGTCAGAGCTGTGGCCACTTATTGAACCTGTGTAGGTTTGGCACTGTGGAATGGGGGAAAGTTGGTTCTTGTTATTAGTGGTTAAAATTGGGAGTTCATTACAAGGAAGGCTTCTGAGGGTAAGATTAGATGGCATGTGAATTAGCCCTATCCCATGTGTCACCAAACATGCAAGGTGCTGTACAGGCGTAGACTGGAAAATCCCCACCCTAATCTGCTTACTGTCTAACCATAAGAAATGCATGGGGTAATGAAAAAGGAAGCAATGAGGCCATATTAGTCATTGCACGAGGGATGTTCATCAACAGAAGCCTTATAGCTGTGGAGGGTTTGCTAGAAGGTAGTGAAGGTCCATCTGTGAAAAGATGTAGCATTGAATGTGATTTCTGGGAATGCAGTGGTGTGTGAGGGGAGTGTTCTGAGAATTTAGGGTGGTTACTGCAGGCCTGAGTTGCAGAGGCAGGTATGGAGAGGTAAGCACTCATTTCCAAAGCACAGCCCTGGCTATTGTGGTGCTGGAGAGAAGCCACAGCACTGCCAGTGCCTGTGGAATACAGCTGGGGCAAGCTGCAGGACAAATCTGCCCACAGCCTGGGATTGGGTGGGTCTAAGCTGGATGTGCCAGTAGTGTGGTGGTAGGTGCTAGGGTGAGCAAGCATACCAGGTTTTTTTTGCCTTCCAGTATATCAGGTAGTCTAAAAAAGGGCATTGCTTTCCTGATGAACCTGCCTCACACATAGATGGACAACACTCCTTGCCACTTCTGCCACTTGGACTGTGCAAGGTGAGGTGTAGGAGCAGGAGGACATTGCAGAGACAAACTGGAAAAGAAGAGGATCTCTCTGTGTTTCCTGCAAATGTGCAGGCAGACAGAACACAGCTATGGATGGGAGCCTCTGACAGTATCCCTGACCTCTCTCCTGTCTGTGTTGTGGGTGCCATCAGCCTGCAGGATGTGGTCTTTGTGTATAGATCATGAATGGAGTTGAGTGGCTTGATAGCTATAGCTCTGCCACCTGGGCAGACAGCTGGGCCATGGTGAGCTATGTGTATGTGCTGTGGTTGTTCTTGTCCAGGGACATGGCTATGGGGAGGTCTCTACTGAAAAACAGGGTAGTGCGAGTGGAACATCCCTTTCCCACCACCCTTTTTAGATCTGTTCTCTGTGTCAGAATCTGTATTGGTGGCCTGTGCTTGGCATGCTGGCTGTCTTCTGGCATGCTGAGTGGAGAAAGGCTGGCTGGTGTGGTGGAATGAACCAGTTTGGTGAGCAATCTTCAGCAACCACTGATCTCTTTCTGAGCATTTGCATTGCTTAAGTTGCACAGATCAGTTCTCCTGATGGGTAATCACCCAACAAGCTGTATGTGGTTGCTGGCAAGAAGCATGACTGCAGCTGCATTTCTGAAGGAGGCCAGGATGGACAGGTTGCCAATCACAGAATATGCTGAGTTGGAAGGGACTCACAAGGATCATTGAGTCCAATCCTTTGCCCTGCAGAGTATTGTCCAAACACTTCTTGAACTCTGTCAGACTTGGCACTGTGACCACTTCCCTGGGGAGCCTCTTCCAGCACCCAGCCACCCTCTGGATGAAGACCTTTTTTCTAATATCCAACCTAAACCTCCCCTGACATGAACTCAGGCCATTCTCTTGGGTCCTGTCACTAGTCACCACAGAGGAGAGATCAGTGTCTACCCCTCCTCTTCCCCTCATGAGGAAGTTGTAACTGCAATGAGGTCTCCCCTCAGTCTCCTCTTCTCCAGGCTGAACAGACAAAGTGACCTCAGCCATTCTGCTCTTCACACGACTTTCCCTTAAGGCCCTTTGCCATCTCGGTTGCCCTCCTTTGGACTCTTTCTAATAAATTCATATCTTTCTTATATTGCAGTGCCCAAAACCGCACACAACTCCTGGACAGTGCTTCCCCTGTCAGATTGCCCATCACAGAAGTCTTACTCCCAGCATATGATGCTTTGCTGTTGCCGTGCTCAAAAAGGTACTTCTGACCTTCACTCCAGCTCCAAGGGCCTTGGCTCCGGGCAGGTGGTTTATTTACCCTCCTCTCCTGGATCCCAACTGACTCGGTCCCAGATTCAGCCTCACTCCAGCTCAGGGTGAGGCGTCCCTACAGCTATGAGATGCCCCGCTGAGGAGGCCAGGCCCTGAGGTAGAGCAAGGCTGCCGTTGCCCTCTCCTGGCAGTTTGAGGACAGTGCCCATTGAATGGAGGTGGAGCGGGGAGCAGAGGGCTGTTGTCCCTTGCCATACCAGCTGCCTGCTGGTGACTGAAGACACGGCTCCATCTGGTGGCATGAAAGGAATTTGTCTGCATGTCTGTCGGAGAGCAGCCCTGACTTTCTCAGCCACGTGCAAACTAGTAGTCTCCAACTATTTTTTTCTCCCTTTTTTTTTTTTTTTATCTTCTGAGGAGTTAGGCCTCTCTGTGGCTTTGCCTACCTGCCTGATGTTCTTGTTTCTCCCCAGCTACTGCGACTACTTCTTACAGAGAGGCTTAAGCTGACAAACGTGCCCAGCTCTGGGTCATTCCTGGAGCGTGGTACAATTTCTCAGTCTGGGAAGAAGCGCTAGAGAGCTGCAGAGGGCATTGCCAAAGGACAGGCTCTCTGCTATGGCCTGAGATGTGACAGCTCTGCTCCCATTAGACATGTCCTGGGTCAGATCAGAGGTCTGTCTAGCCTGGTGTCCTGTTCCTGGCAGGACATGCCTGGGAAAGGAGGGACAAAGGCAGCTGGCAGCATCTATTGTGCAGGCAGGAATGTCTTGGGTTTGTCATTATGCTGCTTCCCTGGATTTTGTCCTTTCTGATTTTGACTCATCACCATCTGAACCCATGAAGACTCCTGGTGTTGCTACACCTTCTGGAGGTGCAGCTGGGCAAGAGACCTCTGCCCTGGGCTAGGAGGTATAAACAGCTGTCCAAGGTTACATGGACATGGTTCATCTGCGTGCTGGGGCTGCAGGTCAGAGGACTCGCCAGAAAGGATTGGTGATATTTTATGTTGCGTCTCTTTTCCAGGTTTTTTGGAAGGGCGAGAGATGCCAGATGTGTCCAGAGGAGGAGCAGAGAGGAGCAGTGGCACACAACTGAGAACCAGGTGTCAAGCTGGCCCTTAAGGAGCAAACCTTGTACATGAGCTCTCTGTATGAGATGGAGTGGTTTGGGTCCTCCAGGTCCCATGAGACCCCAAACTGTTTGAGGGCTACTGGACACTTAATCTTGACTGTTGCCTAAGAAGGCAATGCCAAAAATCAGGTAGGGAAAAGTGGAGGCCTCTTGTTTTGTGAAAATCATGGCAGTCCAAGCACTTTTTCACCCAGATTTTCTTGGTTTTTTGTCTGGGTTTTGCTTCTGTTTTGGCGTCTTGTGAAACCTGGATGGTGAGGATTGAGATGTCTCTCCCTTTGGCTGGCAGATTACACAGCTGCTAGCATTTCTCCAAGCAGACCAATTTCATGTACTTCCCTTTGATTTTGTTATCGGCTTCTCATGAGACATCCCATCAGCTTTCCTGTTGTGTCATTAGCATCTCAGATTCCCAGAGCAGTACTGTCGCCTGTTTGGAGCCACAGCAGCCCTAAAAAACACTCATCTGGTGTTTGCTGTGGATTTTTCTAGGAGAGGTCGGCACGGGACTGTTTTCCTGTTATCTCTTGAGACTTCCATGTGAGCAGACAAAAGTATGGGACCACTGAAAATCCATCTTTGCAGATTCACATTTTGCCACCAGAGAGCTCCCCTTCTCCACACCAAGGGTAAGGAAATAGAGACCAATGTGGCAAAAAAGTCCTTCAGTCTCTACCACATCCCAGCTCTTGTAGTATGGGCTGAATGAACTCTGTGCTGCTTGCTCACCTTAAAAAGAAATACTGTTTTAGTGCTTGGATGAGTTTTGCCCCCTTCATTGTAGGCTTCTTAGGAGATGGAGAACATTGAGGCTGGGAATATTGAGGCTGCCTAATGAGAGAAAACACAGTGAGCAGGTGGAAATCTGATAGCTGCAATGCATTTTTTTCTCACCCTGGTGATTTTGGTCTTTCTGATAGAATAGCAGGACTTGAAAGGGTCTGCCTGCAGCACACCCTTGCTGCTAGTTGACCTACAGAACAGTGTTGCACTTGTGCTTCTAGGAAATGTTGGCACATCCAGTAAGTTTAGTTTTGTACTAAACTGAGTTTACTCAGTTTACTGAGTTTTGTACTAAATTTGGGTTGTAATCACCAGTGATGTCACTTTTTCTGTTTAATTACAGGGTTGAAGCATTTACTCCCCCAGACAGTGTAATTCTGACCTTTTCCATCCACTCTTCTCCCTGTCTGGTTCCTTTCCTGCTCTTACCTGGCACTTTTGCAAACATATATCATCCTCCCACATTTCTGCTTTGCTGAGGAGACAAGTCTTTCACACTTGGAGGAAAAGATAATTGGTATAGTTCATTCAATATGTGAAACTCATAACTGAAAAATTAGTAGTCTGAACACTACAGTGGGTTTGGAAATATGACTGCAATTCTGTTTTTTGAAGCTGATGTGACTGATGTCTTACTTTCCTTCTGCATCTTTCCTCACAGCCCCTTACCCATGCTGAGAGTGTGAGGAAGCCCTAGCTCACTTGGAGCCTGTGAGACATTGGCTAAGGAGCAGTGGCCACCCCCACGGCATCTTGGCAGAGAATGAATCAGCAAACTAATACCCTCAACTCCTGGCTCCAGCAGAGGTTGAAGGGCCCATCCTTGCAACTGCTCTCAATTTGCTCAATCTCCTCCATTTTTGTTTAGACACCCCTTTTCTGTGGTGCCCTGTGCCCAACAGAAATCTGAAAGGAACTGAGGGCTGAGGAGAATAAGGCACTAGGATTCACAACAGTCACATCTCATCAGATCTGCTCTCCCTTGTCCTGTGTTAGAGCCTCTTCAACAAAGGACCTGTCTGCCAGCAGTAGCAAAAGTACCTAAAAAAAGCAGCAGTAGCTGTAAATTTACAACAGCCCATTCCTCTAGAGCCTCCAACCAATGGATGTAAGCTGTGCAACTGTAACCCAAAGACTGACTCCTTCCTCTTCTCACTTTGCTCGCTGGAGATGATGAGCAAGGGCCACACTTGGCTGTAGTCAAGAGGAAATTCACAGCTCAGTGTTGTGGGAATTTTTATTGCAACTTATTGTGCTCTGAAAATCGTCGGGTGCAAACCTAAGCAGTTATAATGCAGGGGAAGTAGAGCCATGGGTAATCAGAAAAGCTTGGTTAGTCTAGAAAGCATGATCTTCAAGGGAAGATGGAGGGAACTGGAAGGTTATTTAGTTCAAGGAAGAGATGACTTCAGAGGTTATAGCAATCTTCAAAAATATGTGAAGTCATCTATGGAAGAATAATGTGTTCTTTGTGTTCCTGCTAGCTCTTAGTATTAGATTATAGCAAGGGACATCAGACTGTGAAATCAGAGAAATGTTTCTAAGGGTGAGGATAGCAAACCAGAAGACCAAGTTCCTTGGGAAAGAAATTAATCTCCTTTCTTAGAGGTTCTTAAAAAACAGTGTCAGAAATGATGTAACTCCTATCCATGTCCTCAGCTGGTCTGTCAGAGCAAAGGATGTTCTCAGCAAATGTTTCTGTAGTATGCAAAGAGAAGAGTGGAAGCACACCTCAAGAGACCTACCAGGCAGATTTTTTCTCCAGGAAACCAAGGACACAGCTCTGGCACTTTTCAGTCCAACATGGCTTCCTTCTCATTGTGGTTGGAATTAGCTGTCTGGAAATACTATCCTAACCTGGAAGACAAGCCTGTTCTGCAACATTATGCCTTCTCTGGTCATGACCATCCCTGGCTGCGCTGGGCAGTAGCATCACACCAAGCAGGATCTCCCCAAGCTAGAAGGAGAAGCTTGTCCCAGTCCTAAGTACAGATTGGCCATACACGTCCCTGTTTGAAGTAAGGGACTGCAGCAGCTCTAGGGAGTTTGTAGGAGGTCCCTGGGGTATTGGTTTTGTTCTTGGGAGTGCTGGGTTAGGCAGGATCGCCAAGCAAGGCAGAAACTTTGTGCTGCCTGACATATGCTGGGAGCTTCATCTTGCTGAGAAGCAAACCAGCTGTACTGAACAGCTGCCTCAGAGATAGACCTCATCTGCAAAACACTCTCTCTTGGTAAGCTCCCTGCTGTGGGTGCAGAACCTGATTCTCACTCCAGCATGTGGGAATTCTAAATGGGGTGGGAACTCATGCTGGTGCCCTATGAAGTGTCCTCTCTTTCTCCTGAACCATGTAAGGGATCTTTAACATTAATGAATTGGCTTCAGTGCTGCAGCAGCTGTAAAACGAGTTCCACTTTTAGTTGAAATAGGTTGCATTTTGACTGAAGAATTTTTGCTCTCCAGATTTTCACTAGAAATTCGTATCTAAAGAATGTATATCTTGTACATCATTGATAGTCAGAACAGCTTCTTAGCCTAGACGAATCCTGATTTGCAAAACAGCTGTCTCACAGGGCCAAAACCCTGGGTGGAGAAGACATGTCCTGGAAAGCTGTCTAACCTATGAGGGTGCATCAAAGCAGCAAGACTCCTGCAGTAGTAAATGTAGTGCAAGTCAGGGGAAAATGTTTCAAGTCAGGGTAAGTTTGGGGTTGTATATTGGAAGACCAGCATATGCTGGCATGCATCTGTGTGTAAATATCCACAGGCAAAAAAGCCAGGGCTCTTCTAGAGTGGAAGAACTTGCTTCATCATTTATTTACACACTCCAACACTTGCATTTTCATGAGGCCTAGATATATTGTGTATTTGCTAGAACAAACACAGGAGAGGACTCTTCTAAGCTCTTGATAGAATCATTAAGGAGCTTCATGTCTACTTGTGATTTTCCACTTCTTTGAGTTTACTTTGAAATGTGAACATAAAATCTGGCACCACAGGCACTATGTGAATTTGTGATGGTCTTGGGAGCACTGCTTCTCCATAAAACAGTGTCTTGATCCTATCCAAGCACAGATGTTTGTTTGTCTGTGACAGCTGTAGTATCATTGATTTGTGCTTGTTGAGCTATCACACTTTAATGGAAATTCTTTAAAGAAGTTGCAAATAGTTCATTTTAGTAGACTGATCCAGCAAACATGGCAGTAAACTCCTTGGAATAGAGTCTGAATTACACAAATAAGAGAGTTACGTGTGAAGGTGAAATGGAAAGCATTCTGTTTTTATGGCATGTTGCAGTGGTTACCAAACCTTATGGTTTTGTCAGCAGTCTCAGGATGTTATATATATATATAATTTTTTTTCTTAAAATCCCAGCTACTGGAAGGAAGATATTGAATAAGAATCTCCATTTTATAATTTTTAAAAAGTAAGTAAGTTTCTAACCTTCATGGTTGCTTAGAAAAACATGAAATCATGAGCTAAATGTTCCAGATAGGATGTTGAAATCAAAACCAAACACAGTGGAAAAATTTCTTCATAGCTTTATACTTCAGATAGTAAGTAAACAGGCTTAGATTGGCTTAGAAATTCTACACTTTGGAAATGTATCAATGTCTGACTTTTGGGACTTGACTGCTGGCATGAGGACACATGTGATTTTGGAATCAGAATTCAATCTCTTTTGTTAGACCATATTGACATTTATAAAAAGTAAATATTTCTGTCAAATAAAAAAAAAATTAATATTTCTCTGATGAGAACACTTCTTTTTCAAAACTTTATTTAACGTTGCTTGAGTCCCATTTTGTCACCTGTTTTGTTTCTCAACTAATTTTGTTCTTCTCTGATTTGAGAATTCCATCCTGAATCTCTTTTGGCGCATACTTCTGGACTTTAATGTTTCTGTCTGGAGATTTGCATTTGGTTAGGTTTTGATGTTGACCTCAAATTTGGTGTTATCTTCCTTTCCTCATTTTGGCTTTTTCATCCTGTTCTTTGCTTTCCAACTTTGTTTTGAGCTAGTGCTGTAGATTTCCACCTTGGGTGATCGGTGGTGTTCTACCTGGACATTGCCTTTTGTCAGCTGAGTGTGTGATGTTTCCAAGTGGCTCAGTGCAGCCACTCAAAGTCACATTTGAGCTCATCTTCTTGTGACTGGGGAAATTGTTCGCTTGTTTTGTTTTTTCAAAGGAGATGAATAAATTTTTGGTGAAAGACATGCACAGTGCAGGAATTCATGGAGAGGGAATTCCAGTTCTCCAAGCAGAACTAGCCCTGAGGGTCTGTAGTGGCCAACTTTGTGGCTGCACTGCTAGTGAAGCTATTGGGTGCTGCAAGAGAAGTTGAAAGATGAAAAACAAAGAGCTCCTCTCTCCTATACCCCACTGTGTGACATGGTAATGGTGACTGTGTAACTTCTTCCATGCTGCAGCCTTCAAATAAAAGCTTGTTCTTGCATTCAGGTTCTGGAGCTCACAGGCAAATTCAAGTTCAGATGTTGCCTTAGCCTGAACTGTGGCACTTTTTGAAAGCTGGAAGACAGATGTCTAAACACACTTTCTGTGGGCCTAAGATCTTGTTCTTAGGAGCTGGCAGAATTGAGCAAGGCTCCATCCACAGCAGTAAGCCTGAACTTAGTCCCTACATCATGAATATTTAGAGGTCAAGCTAGCAGCCAGCAAATGAGAACAGAAACCCTGTTGTAATCCCAGGCCTTAAGCCTGCCCTTTGTCTTGCAGAAGAGTTCTGTTTCCTGACTTAACTGACTATGTTTACAACTATGTTGTAAACTGTATTCCATATTTGCAGAATGAAAATAAATTGCCTGCAAAGCCCTGGTTATTGGAGTCTGAAGGAACAGCAGTGGGATGAGTATGATGTACACAGGACGCTCACGGCAAGAGTATGTTTTGGGGAGGTCCTGGTCCAGAGAAGGTCAGGAACCAGCATACGGCACTGTCCCAGGCTGCCAGCCCATCTGAAGAGGATCTTGAGGTACGTATAACAGCTCTGGCTGCATGAATTAAAGAAAGGCATGATGGTGTGCACAGCCCATCTACAGATGAAACTGTTTCTTTGGAGCCAGTACAGCCTAACGGGTCTCTTCCAAAAACAGTCATCCTCTCTAAACCTGTCCTGCACAATTTTGGAAAGGGTATAGTTTTTCTCCTAGATCGTGGGAGGCAGATTGTTTTTAGGGGAGAAACCACAAGTTAGTGCTTCCGCACAGTTCTGAATTCTGCAACTGTCCCTACAGGCTCCCAGCATATAGGACCATTTCTCCCCTGGGGAAATTTCACCTAAGTGAAATTATGTTTCTAACCTAGACTATACATTGTTTAGGATATACAAAGTACTATCCCTAGTGTTTGATTTTTTTTCCAGATGTTTTTTGTTACTTTTTTAAGATTAGAAATTCACAGAGTAAGATCTGCAGCTCTGAACATCAGATATATGAGACAGAACTTTCTTAATCATAGGTTTGATAGATTTATTAGTCAGAGTCCTTGTCTTCAGAGCCTAAGGGTTTGTATCTATCACCTTGTAGCTTATCCTGTAGTAGACCTCTGGTCCAGGACTTTGAGGTTGCATGGATAATTAGCAGTGAAGCTCTTACATTGCATCTAATTCACGCCTTTCCCAGTATTATTAGCCTCATATGACCCTGTTTGTGCTGGTTGCAAGGCAAGGGCCAATCCATACATTAAGCAATGTATGTCAGGCTGCCAGAAGATAGGGGCAGGGGTAGCTTTACTTCCATTTTAAACCAACATTCCTTTGAGCTGTACCTCAGGTCATGCCTCAAAGCATGGACTGACTTATCTGTGTTTGCCAGTCCTTAATAAGTGGTGTGTACACACATTTCAAAGGAAGCTGTTGGGTGGTATATAGCCATTAAAAGCACTTGAGCAGGTGGTTAGGGAGGTAGAAAGTTAGAAGTGGCATGACCAGGTCTATAAAGATACTGTGGCACTGCTGGTCTCCAGAGCAATTAGTTACCCCTTTTCAAGACACTAATTTCCAAATTGCTACTTAAAATTCCTAAGTGGGGACTTAGTAGAAAGCATGACCTTAGAACGGGACTCAGCATTCTTGCAGGAGCAAGATGCAATAGCAGAACCAGCGAAAAATCCCAGACTTTCTCAGCCTCTCCTCAAACTCCAAAGCATGTTGGAGTTTGACCATCAAAGCCCAAATCCATGAGCTATAGTAGATCTGAAAGGAGTGGTTCCTGACAGATGTGATGTCTTTGGTCTTTATTTCTCCTTCCTTCTCCTCACCCAGCCAGGGTGTCATTGCAAGGTGACTGTGATGTTTCTCAGCAGTGCTTTTGATATTTGTGAGTAATGCCTGTGCCTAGTTGCTGTGTTTGTTTGGGATTGGCTTGGTGGAAGACTCTTACCTGAGTACTGTCTCCTGTGAGATTTTTGTTTCCTGTATGGAGTTTGGTTTTTCCTTTTTTGAAAAACCAGGTTTGCTCTGTAAGAGTATGCAGGAAATTTGTATTTTGGCCTTGTTCTGTAATATTTTCTTGAAATTGACTGGTCCTGTAAAGATTCTTGAAAGTATCAACAGAGAGAGCAAAGTTCTGTTGTACAGTGTAGTAAAAAAATTCTTAAGCATTGGGTATAAGTGATTTACTGAAATGTCTAGTTTCTCGTTAGAATGTGGGTAGGACAGAGCAGATAAAATACAACTCCTAGATATCAGAGATGGAAGAGACCCTGAGTGTCCATTTTGTCCATTTCCCTGACAGCATCTGGGATTAGCCTAAGTAAAACTTAATAATAGCTGTTTGTCCAGTGGCATGAATTCTGTCCCCTCTCCTGGCAAACTCCGCATCTGAACAGAATAAACTAGATGTGCCTATTCCTGCAGTGTTTGTCAGAAATCTGGATCCAGTGTTTCATTGCATGCTGAAAGGCATGAATTCATTCCAGAATAAACCAAGCATGCATCTGCTTTACTTGTGTGCATGTTTGTGCTTCAAACCCTTGTCTCAGTACCTTATGGTGCTGCTGCCTTCCTCTCTCTGTGTTCCCAGACGTTTTGGGTTTTTGAACAGTTATTCTTTGGCGCACTGTATCTCTGTCCTAATGAGAGAAAGTTCGTTCCACCTGGGTGTTGAGGAACACACTAGTGTAAATACCTGGTGTGCAGCTGAGGTGTGAGCTGCAGATTATGTCTGCGGTGGTGGGAAATGGCTGGAGTCCTTGGGAAGGGACTGTTACCTGGCACTGACCCTTTCCCTGACAAAGGGCACGGGGCCTTATGGCTTGACCAGGGGGTAGCTGGTCACCCAGAGACTCTGAAGGAACCAGGGAACAGCGAGAGACCCCAGACTAAATATCACCACTGGAATGAATGAACATACTATAAGAGTACATTATCTAAGGAATTCCTTTGGAGGCACCAGCTCAAGGTGTTATGGTGTTTAAGGAACCAGTTGTGTGCGATTCTGCTATGGAAAACCTGGGGCTGAGCCGGTGAGGGAACTCTGACTGTGAGTGTAGTGTGTGGTAAGTGGGGCATTGCTGTGAAGGGACTTTGGTTCCAGCAGTGAAAATCTGGGATGGTAAGGATGTGACTGTCAGAGTGGTCCTGAATGGTAGGACAGGAAGGTTTCCTTAACACTAGGAATCTGATAAGAGCTGCAGAATATTTTTGGAGAGTTACTGAATGGTTTGGTAGGGTGTTTTTACTGCAAAGATGCTCTGGTGAAAAGTAATGATGTATCTTCCCAGTATAATGCTGGGAAAATTTACATTTATGTCTCCCTTCATTGCCTGGATTGCTTTTTGAGAAGCCCTAGTTTTTGCAAGTTTTGTGCTGTGAAAAAGGAGGGAAGGTTAGCTGTCTGCATCCTAAGGCTAGGAGATGCCTTCCTGTACACATATGGCTAAGGTTCTTCATGATATCTCCACCACCCTTCCTTCCACCTGTCCCCTGCAACCCCTCAGCTGTCTACAAGCTTCTCTTCAGTTCATTAAGCTTAGAGGTTGCCCCTGTACCTCTTGGGCCTAAGACGTGAGTCTCAACCAGAAGGCTTTGTGCATTGGAAGTTCCAGGCTTTTGAAGCTGGGTGTTGACTTTGTCCTGGGGACAGCAGGTGGGGACTGACTTTGGCACTGCAACATCAGGAGGCTGATGATTTGGAAAACTGCATTTTTGGATTGCTATAGACCTGGAGACTGTGTATCGCAGTCGTGAAGAGTTGTGTGAAGAGTTGTGTGAAGAGTTGTGTGAAGAGTTGTGCCTGGACTTATGCCATAGGATAATCATGTGGGTCCCATGTTCCCTAGTTTTCCAACAGGTGTCAAGGAGATGCTTTGAAAACACTGGCCTTGGCACAACTGCAGGCAGAACCATGGTTGTGGGGGTTTTCAAGCAATATGACCTCATCCATGACCCCAGATGCCTTTACAGAATCTGGCATATCACTGTACCTGGTTCATCTTGATTCCTCTGTACTTGGCAAATTGTCAGTGGAGAACATTTCTGCACTTCCTCATAGTCATGTCCCAAGACAGGGTGTGGCTGACTGGTTTGTGTTTATTGCTGCAGATCCAGTGCTTCCTTCTAGCCTTGGTTGATGCCACACTCTTTGCTGTGGACTTGCAGCTCCACATAAATAAGAGGCCTCCCTCAGACTGTCTGTGGGAAGGGGGCTTCCTCTGCCTTATCCCAGCTAAGGGGGTTTGCTGAGCTTGCTTGAGCGACAGGGCTTACATGCCATACTGTAAGTGATTGCTTTCAACAGCCAGCAGGATTGTCTGATTGCTAAGGTGGGCAAGAAGGGAAAGAAGGGAATTTCCTGGCCATGCTGTGAATTTTAGAGGAAAGATCCGTATGTGGGTTTTGGGGAAAGAAGGATGACAGACTTCCATTCTGAGGCACTTGGGTAGTGGAGTTCCAAGGAGTGCTCGTTGTCATGCAGTCAGAGGAAGGGTAGGATTGATGCCCCAGCACCGGAGTGAACAGACTTAAGGCAGGGACTGAACAGGGAGGTTGGCCAGTGTGTTCTCATGGTGAGGGAAAGAGGGGAAAAGGAGGGGCTTGCCAACTTGTGTAGAGTATGTGTACCTGCAAGCAGATGTGAGGTGTCTGCAAAGTTTTATAGACTAGTCTGGCCCTAGGCTTCACAGAGAAGCCAAAGAATGAAAGGGATTAAATATATGTGTGGTTCTGTACACACCCTTGCATCTTTTTGTCTACTGAAAGGGCAGTGCTCCTACCTATGAAGCAGAGAGCTTGTGGAAGGTATTACTTTGAGTGGCTTAGCAGGTTTTGCTGGCTGTCATAAGGATGGTGGCTGGATTTGGACTATGTTCTTTTAGGGCCTTATCATCCTTTGCAGGGTAGCACTTCTGAATATTTTATACCCCCTTGGAAGTTAGCACTGTTGGTGTTTGTGCTTTTTGGTGACATTTTGCTGGATAATTACTGGCACTGCCTGCCTCTGAGCATTCCATATATGCAGCTACAATTTATTTTTTCCCTCTGAAAACTCCCACTGAGAGAACTGGTGTGACTGGGCAGGTATTCAGCTGTGTCAGTCTTCACGGGATGCATTCTCTACAAAAGGGGCAAAACTGTAATTACAGCTAAACCCTCTTATTTCTTCTGTTTAATTGTGTATGGCTGATAGCAAGAATGTCAATGAAGAAGCAGTGAGGTTCTTTTAAAATTGATATTAATGAGAATAGACACATGGGAAGAGATACATGAGCACTGCTTCCAGCCTAAAAGCAGCAGCTGCAGAAACAAGTGTTACTTGTTTATCAAGACTGTGGTATGCCTAATAGGGAAAAAATGCACGAAGCTGGAATTCAGCAGTTAGGTTCCAGGTCTCAGCCCTGCTAATAGCTGCCTGAGAGCCCTATGTAAATGAATTTCTTTCTTCCTGGCCTAGGACTCCTCTGGGATCCTGAGACCAACTGTTTGCTTACTTCTGCTTTGTTTTTTTCTTTCCAGAATCTAATCTTAACTGTTTGGTGACTGCATGACTCCTAAACTGGCAGGACACTTTTACCATTCAAATGCAACAGTGTGGACTTCACAGCAGAGGATGGCTTGTTGAAGGGACTGGTTGGGCTGTTCTCTTGAGCATGGGTAAGAGGGTTTTGGAGAAAGTGCCTTTCATGTGGGGTCAGGATCAGAGAGGACTGCAGAGGCCTCTTCTTCAGTGGGATCTCCCTCCCTTGCTGCCACAGGCTTCGACTCACCCCAGCAATGAGTCACACATGGTGACTAAGCTGATTAAGCCCAGGCAGAGAAGGAAGAACAGCAGGGGATCAGAGATGGAGGAATTTCTGGACTCTACCTGGTCCCCAGGCTGGAGTCAGAAGGGGAACAAAACAGGGGCAGCTTAGAGGTCTCTCATGATTCTTGGGCCACTTTCTCAGCCTCCTCTGGTCTGTGGATTCCCTGCAAACCCAGCTTCTGCCTCGTGCAAAGGGGCTGTGCTTTCCCTGGTATTGCTTCTTTCACAGTGAAAACCCTTGTGCTCTTTCTTCCCCATGCCCTCTGCTAGGGAATGTCCAGTTACACAAACACTGTGTCTTTAAGGAGACTGATTCACTGATCATCCACATCATTTCACCTGCCCTTGACATGATGTTCCCTCACCCACTTGGCTATGCAAACCCCCTTAGAAGGGCCCCAGTGTTGCTCATGATGGAGCAGATGGGGTTTCTAAGCAGCTTAAGTTGTCTCTTTAAGGACTTGTAGAAGCAGATGTTAGAGCCCTTGGGTTTCAGGCAGCTGAGGTATTGTATAGATGTTCTCTGCATGTTTTCTGCTATAAATGCTATCATGGTAAGAGGTCTGCAACCTTCTTTTTCTCTCCTAAAGCAGCCTGAAAACTAGCATTCATAATAGGAAAGATAAGACTGTTTTCGTTTCCCCAGTGATTCTGGAAACTAGGGCCCTAGCACGTGCCTTCATCTGGCTGTGGGGAGAGAGCAGGTGGTTTTCACCTGAATTAGAACCCCCTTTAATCTTGTTCAAGGCTATGTAAGTGAAGAGGTGAATTACATCCAAACCTGAGGCTGCTGAGGTGCCCTTGAAATATTGGACCCTTTTACAGCCAAAATCCTTTGGGGTGGGGGGAGGCTTGCATTTCTGACATTATTAAAGTGGACATTGTTAATTATATGTGAGGTTGGATTACTGCATGGCATGCAGTGAGTTCTTATTGTTAATCAAGCAGAAGTAGATGAAATACAACTTTTGCTTTATTAACAATGACCTCCTGGAGGGACTTTCCCCTGTGGTTGAAAGGAAATATGCTGAGGGAAGAAATAAATAAATAATAATGTGATTAAATGAGATGTATTAAGGCATGTTTTCCATCTCTCTCTCCTGATTCTGGTCCTTGATTCAAATCTCATTCAATGTATTAGCTACATTTTGTGTTATTGGGCAATAGCCTTGCTTGTGCTGGTTTTACAAGCCATCAGTTGTATTAGAAGTTCAACTGATAGCCATACAGACAGCTATTTCAACCTGACACAAAATTATTCAGAATAACTGGAAAGAAAATACCAAGTGTCAATGTGGTTTATTAATTCCACACCCAGCTGCCCAACTTCTCTTTATTCTGTCCTCTCTGACTTTGCAGCTCCCTAGAACTAGAAAAGAGGAAGGGTTGAATGCACAATGTCAATGCATGTTCCACGTGAGAGTGCCTACCTGATTAGAGAGTAATGCTCAAACAGCTGGGGCATTTTGGCCTTTAAAAATCTCTCAAGAGTACAGGATCATGCATAATTTTTTATTCCCCCTGCTGCTCTCACTCAGGTAGTGTTTTGTTTATTGTAGAGGTGTGTGTGTTCATATGGGCATGGTTTTATTAGTTTACTCTTAGTCTAGTAATAAATATATCTTGCATAATAAATATCTCTAAGTACTACATGTTGCTGCTGGGCTGGTGCAGTGACGTAACATCACAGCCTTGATAACCCTTATGGATTTTATTTCCCCTCGGACATATCACAATAATTTGTAGGGGTTTTTTCAGGTTCCAGCCCCAGGACTCACCTGAACATACGCAAACCCAGCTACTTGTTACACTGCATTTGGCTCTGGCTGCCAGTTTGACAGGGGAAAACTGGGAAATCTAACCCTGCTTTATGGCTGATATATTTTAAAAGGAATCAGAAAGCAAGTTAAAAAAGCATTTAAGAGTGTATTAGTTTTGAGATATTTCAAAGGTAATCTCCTACCTTTAGGGAGTGTGATTATTTTTCAGTATCTGAGGTTTGCTATCTCATTACTCAGTGACAGGAAAAGCTGTTGCCCCTCCTGCAGGCCCTAGTTTCCGTTCTGAGTGCCATGCAGAGATTAGAGGTCTGCAGGCTGGCTTTCAAGCCCTGCAGGAACCAGCTAAATGCAGTTATCTTTAGACGAGTGCAGATAGCAGGCCTGGAGTGGAGGTACTCAGACAATGTGCAAGAGGCTGCCACATCGGAGATTTTTCTGGGAAGTGCAACCGAATTCTGAAACTGTCCAGAGAATAGCTCTGCATACATGCTAGGAATTGTCAAAGCAGAGAACAGGTGACAAAATCTCCTACATTTTAAGATATTCTTTCCCTTAAGATCACATGGCCCTTGAGTTAATTTTCAAGTAGCAGCAGACTTGGGGATATGGCCCACAGCAACACTACCCATTGATGTGAGCCATCATATTTTCACCTGCCATTTCTGGTCCTGTCTTTATGGGCAGGAGCCAGATGCAGGCCCCCAGATGGTGTCTAGCACTCCCAGTCTGACCAGTGACTTTGCAGGAGAGACAGACACTCAGACCTTGTGTCTCCTGCCCTGTTTAGAGACCAGCAGTCACCTTTGATGACTAGTTGTCCTCAGACTTCCTTCTAAAGGGCAGGAGAAAGAGATCCCTGACAAAGAAGCTGCAAGAGAGGGGGACAGCAATGCACAGAGTACATCACTTGCCTTGTTAAAAGCAGAAGAGGCAGACCCAACACTTCTCACTTGGCTGTAGATCCCTGCTACAAGAACTGCTTTACCTCTTTATTTTAGAACTCTACTTCTTTATATTAGATGTAGTAAAGTGATACATTAGAGGACCAATAGTAAATAAATCGTATTGAAGAGGACTTCCTGGCCTGAGGATACTTTATAGTTTAATTTTTACCAGAAGAGCAATTACCACGTTATGAATCTTGCCATTAAAATAATACATACACAGTAAGGATTAATTATGTTGTAAAAAAGCCATGGAAATCAACAGCAAGCACCACCATATAAAATATAACAATTTCGATCCAGTTTTGTTTAAAAAAAACCCAGACATTCAATTTTAAACAAAGATTGGATGTTCACAGAATATGTGGAGTTGGAAGGGACCCACAAGGATCACTGAGTCCAATCCTTTGCCCTGCACAGAACCATCCCCAAGAGTCACACCATGTGCCTGAGAGTATTATCCAAACACTTCCTGAACTCTGTCAGTCTTGGTGCTGTGACCACTTCCCTGGAAAGTCTCTTCCAGCACCCAACCACCCTCTGGATGAAGACCCTTTTTCTAATATCCAACCTATACCTCCCCTGACATGAATTCAGGCCATTCCCTTGGGTCCTGTCACTGGTCACTACAGAGAAAAGGTCAATGCCTGCCTCTCCTCTTCCCCTCATGAGGAAGTTGTAGACTGCAATGAGGTCTCCCCTCAGTCTCCTCCAGGCTGAATAGACCGAGTGACTTCAGCTACTCTTCACACATCTTCCCCTTAAGGCCCTTCACCATCTCGGTTTCCCTCCTTCAGACACTCTCTAATAGCTTAATATATTTCTTATATTGTGGTGCCCAAACTGCACACAATATTCAAAGTGAGGCCGCCCCAGAGCAGAGCAGGACAATCACCTACCTTGACTGACTGGCAATGCTTTGCCTGTTTCCCCCCCAGGACACGGTTTGCCCTCCTGGCTGCCCGGGCGCTGCTGACTCATGGTCAACTTGCTGTCAATGAAGACCCTTTCCAAGGCATTGCTTTCCAGTATCTCATTCCCCAGTCTGTACCTCCATCCCAGGTTACCCTATACCAGTTGCAGAATCTGACACTTATTGTGCTATAATACTGCTTACTGTATGGGTGATCATGCACTGGAAGAGATTGCCCTCAGAGGTTGTGGAGTCTTCCTCATTGGAGATATTAAAAAACTGTCTGAATGCAATCTGTGCAATGTGCTCTAGGATGACCCTATCTGAGCAGGGAGGTTGGACCAGATGATCCACTGGTCCTGTCCAGCCTTACCAATTCTGTGATTCTGAACTGGGGTCCACCAACACTATAGCACTGTGGCTGAGCTCTTTAAGAGTGAAAGGTCTGATCCATGCAGCTTTTCCTACAGGAGCTGGACACCTGACTCCCCAGTAAATTACAGTGAAACTAAAACTTCCTTATACCTGCTGTGCTGTCATGTTCATAAAAGCCTACTGGGAATCTGAGAAGAAATATGTTCACACAATTTTATTTTTTCCTTCTCATGTTTACACAATTTCATTACTCCTTCTCAAATTAATACAGTGTATTAGGTCTGTTTTTTACACAAGTATGTGTTATGTAGATTGCTGGGAGAATGTCGTGTCAGTCTTTGTGGACAGCTCAGAGAGTAATTGTTGGCCTCCTAGGTACTGAGACCCATTTTTTGCTATTTTCTCCATCTTCTTAAGATTCCTTTTAGGGTTTGTGCTGGTGACATCAGTTGTGTTGCGTGCTGTGATCTGGCTTTCTGTCTCCTTGCTTGCATGAAAGTTGGAAATGAACTGATTGCCAGCCACTGGATACAAAGCAGTCACCTAACTCACACATAACCACACACTTCTTTGAGTAAAAGAACTGCTCTGAAAGTGAGTCTTCACTTGTGCGCTTGAGCTTACTGAAACCTGAAGGATGGCTAACTATAAATGGGGGATGCAGCACGGCCCGTGGATTAACAGTGTATTAATTAAATAATGATTATAGATGCAGTAATCTTATTAATGTATGACAATACATACCCTTCTGGAAGGCCCTTTCATGTTTTGGAGTAGCCGTTATTTTTGCCAAATGTATATGTATAGAGCAGCAATTGAATTAGACGGGTGAATTTTGGGGTTATTCACAATTTTACTTCTTCCTTCTTGAGGGAAAAAGTGGCCTAGTACCCCAGTTTGTCTGGTATGGGTGACTGGTTTCGTTTGCAAGCTACCTTGACTTCCAACAATTTCTCTCTTGCAATTGTTAAACACAATAAATGTCTCTGCCCCTTCCCAGTGCTTCAAATCCAACAAGCACAATGTAGAAAAGAGCTCAAGTCTTTCCTAATGAGAAGTAGGGAGGAATCATGCTGGCAAGTCAACCCCTTGGGAACAGGCTGTTCTCTGCACTGAGATATTTCATAGACCAGAGTTTTGCTTCCCCATCCCCCGCAAAAAAGCCTTAACCAGGTAGAGCTTTCTGCTCTGAAATGTGGAGCAGACAGAAATTACAACCACTTCAAAACCTAGCACAGCGGTTGTACCTATATCGGGACTGTGAAAATATCCAGGCTGTGCACCATTGGTTTGTCTTCCAATGAGAAATCAATGCAGTTACTTGAGAGCACAACAGTTGTCTCTCAAAAAACAAAACAACAAAACCAAAAATAAAAAACAACCAAACAAAACTAACAAAAAACTCCCACCAGAATCAAAAAAAGAGAAAAAACCCAAACAGGTTGTGTCTGTGCAGTGCAGTGCAATGCAAACCAGCACAGTCTGGCTTGGCTCTGCTGGAATTGTAGCAGAAGAGCTCACTTCAACTAACAGAAATTCGAGGTTCTGGATAGCCCTTTAATTGTGTGTTCTTGCAAAGATTATGGATTTGTAGTCTTGCTCTTAAGAGAGAAAGGGCCTTCAAATGTATGAAGCGGCCTAAATATGTATAGCTAAAGGATGATATCGTGCTTAGTGAACACTCAAAGTTGTGCTATATGCCAAAGCCCTTGAACTTTGAAGTAGAGAAGTTACACTACAAGCTCTTGCCAAGGGAGGACAGGAGTGATTCGATTTTTAGAGTGAACAAAAGTGATGTGACTGGTGAACCACTTTCTGGGGATCTTGGGGGAACTCTGCACAGACACCATGCTAGCTATTGCAGAGGAAGCTCTCCTCTGGGTTGCCTGGGTTCTGCGAAGTCTTACAGCATGAGCTCTAATCCTTCCGGGTTTCTCTGTTACACTTTGTTTCTCTGCCATGTGCAGGCTGTGGCCCAAACTTCAGGAAATATCTTTTGTTATTGTCTGGCTTTAATTTTGCACTAAACTAACTTCTATTGAAACATCTGACCATTTCACTCCTAGTTTAGTGGTTGCTGCTGGAAGAGACAGGAATGAACAGTATTGCAGCAGACTGCTGGAGCACACAGCACACAAGCATACACTTCATTTTAGACTTATTCTTACTCATGTAAAGTCACTGGTGTTTCTCAGAAGCTAAGCTTAAACATACACTTTGTGCTGCAGATGAGATCAGAGACCAAGGGCAGAACTCATTCTCTTGTCAGCTTTGAACCAAACAATTCCCAGGGAAGAAAAAAACTATCTAGTAAGAACTAATGAATACAAATCTTATGCAGCAGAGCTATTTCTCCTGGAGGCTGAGGTGAACAAATACGTAAGAAGAAAGAAGTATATAGAAGAAAAGAGAATGGCCAAATTATTCTTAGTAAATACAAGCTAATGCAGCAGTCATAAGCAACAGTTTGCATAAAATCTCTGGCGATCATTTTGAATATATGCTATTGCTGTGCTGGCATTAATATTTCTTAGAGCAAAATGGATGACGGTGCAGAGGGTTTTTTTTGCTAACATCCCAACTGCAACTTCACTTAAATCAGCACTCATTATCAATACTGTGGCTTCATTGCTTCAGTTGCAGTCTAACTGGTAGCTTTCAGTTATTTGAAATGCAGCTTTTCTGCTGCCAATTACTTTATTTACTGCTTGTGTGTAAAACAATAATGCCTTCCCTCCTGGGCACAAAGGCAGATTAACGTCAGTAATTACTAAGCACACGTCTGTATTCAAATAACCATTTCTTAGAGGCAGATTATCTTCTGCATTGTCATAAGGGAAAGGGATTTAAACAGGTGATGCTGTCATCCCATAAGTGATGTGAGCAGCGTGGGACTTAGCAGAGAGTTGGTTAGCTCCCAGAATCGCTGTCTGCAGGGTGATAATCATTGACCTACTTGAGATCAGTCCTGAGAGTTGTTTGGCATTTAATTCCTAAAAGTAACAGCCAGTGACTGAATAGGGTTCCGTGCTACTTGCACTTGCTTTCTGTTCATTTTTTTTTTTGCTGTTCCCAAGAAATCTAAGGCTGTGCTTTCAAGAGAGCTCAACACCTAGATTGAGGACTTATATTTCCTAATAGCTGTGTTCCCACAGAATTGCCTGAAAGGTGCACTCAGCACTAACTGCTAAGCTTATTTAGGCAGTCATTGAACTTGAGAGTGGGTGGAGGCTTTTGAAGTCTGTCGTGGCACATAGTGTTTTTCAGATGAACAATCACCTTGCAGTCTATCCAGAAAAGCCACTACTGGCTTTTGACTTGTGGTGAGAGCTTGCCAGAATTTGTACATGCCTGTGTACATGCAGAAGAGATGTGGCCTGTGGTCCTGGTTCACTGGGTATTTTCAAATCAGCTGTCTAGATTTTAGAGGCCACCCTTTTGAAGCTGAGAGCCAAGATAGGGCCCTGGTTTTCCTTGTGTGGACAAGTCATGGCATTGCCTCCATTCCTGTTCTAAAAAAAATGCTTCTCCACACCAAAGCAAGGAGTGGTGGCCATGGCCCTCAAAGGAAGGCAGATTCCCTATTTCTCCCACTGTCACTGAATAAGCTGATATGGGATGTGTTTCTTTCCATAAGCTCTTCCACAGCAGTGAAACGGCTTTGCCTTTGGTATTGAATCACTCTCAGCCATGTCTTGTTGTCTTGCTCTCTTGCTCAAGGGGCATTTTTTTTCATGAGCTCCTGGGACTCACATGAACATACGCAAACCCAGCTACTTGTTACACTGCATTTGGCTCTGGCTGCCAGTTTAACAGGGGAAAACTGGGAAATCTAACCCTGCTTTATGGCTGATATATTTTAAAAGGAATCAGAAAGCAAGTTAAAAAAGCATTTAAGAGTGTATTAGTTTTGAGATATTTCAAAGGTAATCTCCTACCTTTAGGGAGTGTGATTATTTTTCAGTATCTGAGGTTTGCTATCTCATTACTCAGTGACAGGAAAAGCTGTTGCCCCTCCTGCAGGCCCTAGTTTCCGTTCTGAGTGCCATGCAGAGATTAGAGGTCTGCAGGCTGGCTTTCAAGCCCTGCAGGAACCAGCTAAATGCAGTTATCTTTAGACGAGTGCAGATAGCAGGCCTGGAGTGGAGGTACTCAGACAATGTGCAAGAGGCTGCCACATCGGAGATTTTTCTGGGAAGTGCAACCGAATTCTGAAACTGTCCAGAGAATAGCTCTGCATACATGCTAGGAATTGTCAAAGCAGAGAACAGGTGACAAAATCTCCTACATTTTAAGATATTCTTTCCCTTAAGATCACATGGCCCTTGAGTTAATTTTCAAGTAGCAGCAGACTTGGGGATATGGCCCACAGCAACACTACCCATTGATGTGAGCCATCATATTTTCACCTGCCATTTCTGGTCCTGTCTTTATGGGCTTGATCATACAAATCATAGTGATGAATTAAATGGGGCATTTTTTCTTTCAGTCTCATGGAGACAGAGCTGCCCATATGACTGTCTAAGTGGACAGTGTCCTGCCTGGCTGACTGTATTTCACAGGATCTTTATGCCCATACAGATGGAAAAAGGCTTTGACTGGAGGCTGCAGAACATTTATTTGAAGGATTTTCTTCAAATAAG